AGTGTCAACCAGAACGATGCGTAGTGGAATCCGACCACAACATCAGGGTTACAGGGGTGCTATACTCCATCAATACAGAAGCTAATATTGCCAAACTGAGGAAAAGTCAGGCTGGTTCAACCCTTGACAGCTATCAGAAGACAGTTAGAACCTGGAGGTCCACAATGCTAGATTGGACCATGAGCCACCGCCTTCTGGCATAGGACTCTAGGCAATGAAATATAATGATAATTTGCATATCCAAAGTTCAAAGAACCATGACCCAATAATACAAAAGTGTAACAATCACTACGCACAGGGCTTGGTGTGACCAGCCGATTGATAGAACCGGGCCAGTTCTACCACCAGTCTAGGTGAAGTAAGGGCCAAAGTGGTGTGCTGGGCAAAAGGAACACGGTTCCAGGCTCCCAGTGCCCTCAAACACCAGACTCCCGTCCTCCACCGACACAGGGGCGCAACCCACGGCAAACGGGTTGGTGGACCAAATATACCACCGGGTCCACAACGGGGGGTTGAAGAGTTCTTAGCGTTACCCAGCACCCACCACGAGGAGGTGGCTCTTCACGGGTGCCTAGAAGGAAACTATGGACACAGATGTAATTTATAAGATGTGTAATAGTAATAGAAATGAAGATGAAGTCCACTTCCTATTTGAATGTGATAAATGTGTAACACCACGAAAAACTTATTTACCTCTGTGGAATAATTTAAAAAATGCTTGTAAATTCATAAAGTTAATAACTTCTAATGACATGGTACATTTATTGAATTGTGCTAAATGTATCAAATCATCTTAAATGTCGATTTTCTATTTATTGACAACACAAATGTCTGCCTATTGCCATTATGCACAATATCATTTATGTTGCTTTTTGTACATGGGCAGATGGCCTGCAAACTGAAATAAACTTCATAATGACTGCTGAGCAGCTATTGTAATTATTGTGCTGTTCCAGGGCTCACAGACACCTGGTGTCATCACAGATTTTCAGTGATCCGTTCGCATAAATTTCACTGCAGTTTTGGAGTTGTTTTGTAAGAGTGGACCTGCATATGTGTTCAGAATCTTGTTTGTGGTAGGTGTCGGGTGTGTCCTGAGATCACCATACAAGTTTTATGAGATGATGGGTAGACCCCCGCTACTTACGTCGAGGCGGTCGCAAAGCCGAAGACCCTTGTTAGCTTCACCACATGGGTACAATGTATTCCCTGCCGTGATAATGCTGGAATATTGCTAAATGCGGCGTAAAACTAAACTCTCTCACACACTACTTACTTCAATGTTCTCTGGTCTCAATATTCGCAACGTATTTTTTACCTATGTCATTGTATTATATTTTTAGAAGAAAATAAGGACATTGGTTATGAGTGGGTTACCTACATTCAGTATTCAAAAGGTTGTACTTATGTACCACTGCCGTAATGTATAGGTAGCATCGAGAAATCGCCAACCATACTCAGTTTTCCGTGGCACGATGGTAAATATTCCAAAACGGCGTTAAATCATGGGTGATTCCTTCAGTCTAGAAGATCATGCGCTCTTCATCGGAAACTGATTACTTTGTCGGCCTATGTGTGCAAAGTTTGACCGGTTTGTTTACTGTTTAACTACATGACGTCTGTCTGCAAATAATCAAGCCTTGCGTTTACATTTCATTGACTATATCATCGACCCATGCAATTGGGATACGGTGATATGTATTAAACAATTCAGAGTACCTGACCACCCGATCCCGTCAGTCGCCTCTTGCAAGTAGACATGGGTTGCTGAAGATCAATTCTAAACCGGATCTTCACGGGTTTAGTGCATGGTGATATGGTGTGTTTACAGGTATACTGCTGTAATATCAATAGAACCTTCACGGTTGTCATGTACATGGGACAATGACGGGTTCTTATCCTGTGATATCGACATGAATGCGGCTCTGTTCTATATCTGAAAGGTCGATTCTTTGATTAATCAAAGGTGATTCCGTGTGTTGATGCCGTGTGTTGATGGTGATGCCTAGTGTTGATGGCGATGCCGTGTGTTGATGGTGATTCCGTGTGTTGATGGTGATTCCGTCTGTTGATGTTGATTCTGTGTGTTGATGACGATGCAGTGTGATGATGACGATGCTGGTGATAATGTGTGTTGATGGTGATGCCGTGTGTTGATGGTGATGGCGTGTGTTGATGGTGATGCAATGTGTTGATGGTGATGTCATGTGTTGATGGTGATGCCTAGTGTTGATGGTGATGCCTAGTGTTGATGGTGATGCCTAGTGTTGATGGCGATGCCTAGTGTTGATGATGATGCCATGTGTTGATGGTGATGCCGTGCGTTGATGGTGATGCATAGTGTTGATGGTGATGCCTATTGTTGATGGTGATGCCTAGTGTTGATGGTGATGCCTAGTGTTGATGGTGATGCCATGTGTTGATGGTGATGCCATGTGTTGATGGTGATGGTGATGCCATGTGTTGATGGTGATGCCTAGTGTTGATGGTGATGCCTAGTGTTGATGGTAATGCCTAGTGTTGATGGTGATGCCTAGTGTTGATGGTGATGCCATGTGTTGATGGTGATGCCATGTGTTGATAGCGATGCCGTGTGTTGATGGTGATACCTAGTGTTGATGGTGATGCCTAGTGTTGATGGCGATGCCGTGTGTTGATGGTGATGCCATGTGTTGATGGTGATGCCATGTGTTGATGGTGATGCAATGTGTTGATGGTGATGCCTAGTGTTGATGGTGATACCTAGTGTTGATGGTGATGCCTAGTGTTGATGGCGATGCCTAGTGTTGGTGGTGATTCCTAGTGTTGATGGTGATGCCTAGTGTCGATGGTGATGCCGTGTGTCGATGGTGATGTCGTGTGTTGATGGTGATGCCGTGTGTTGATGGTGATGCCTAGTGTCGATGGTGATGCCTAGTGTCGATGATGATGTCGTGTGTTGATGGTGATGCCGTGTGTTGATGGTGATGTCGTGTGTTGATGATGCCATGTTGAGAATTACGCACTCGGTCATCACAACGAAGCAAATTTGCTGAAAGTGGCCTAACACCATATTGAGTCATTAATACGTAGATAGAGCCCACTTATCACATGTTGGAAATTACATACAGGGTGGTTTGTTGTTTATACGGAGGTACATTAAGTTGTTCACTGAGGGTGACATGGGTGGATGTACCCTCTATGTTTGTTTATGGTAACATGAACAAACATAGAGGGTACATCAACCAATTTATCTTACCGACACCTCAATGTTAATTTTGAACTGTTTGAAGCACGGGTATTGGATCATAATGAGGAGTACCGGAGTTAGGCAACAGCCCAAATACTACTAACACGAAGTACCAAACGAATTCGGCATTGTCACAGTTCGGCATTTCCAGCGGGTAACAGAAATGTTACTCGCTTGTAAGCAGGGTATATTGATTGGCTCAGGCAGAAAACTACATTTATGTGTGAGGTAAGATAAATTACTTTATTACCCAGTAAATTAGCGTTGAGAGATACATTGTTTGATGCAAGTGGAGATTGAAATGAGGATGGATACCTGTCATACGTTGCCTGGTTGATGTTATGCTATAGTATCACTACGCTGTGAATAGTGACAGAACCTATCAATCATGTCAAAACGCGATTGTTGCGGCGTAAAACACAATTCATTTAATATTTCTGAAGGCAACACCTGCTTAATCTGTGTAAATTAGTAGGATTTCAATGACGGCTTGTGAGAATATCACACTGCAGTTACCATTAAACACTTGTTTTCACGCTGATATTGATAATTGCTGGAACAAATATGTGTACAACGTCAACGTCATTAAATATCCAGTTTGGATTATCTACAGAAACGGTTTGTTCCAACGGCCAAACAATAGTGGCAATTCTAGGAATAGATCAGGACATTAATTCACTTAGCACCAAATAAGGAAACAAAACCAGATTCGCGTCAATGTGAATTAATACGAACTTATAACATATTTGGGATTACACTTTCTCAGTAAAGTGCTTAGTACTTTTTTTTAGGTTGAGTCCCATCCAGGATACTCACTGTCAGTTGGGCTCCTAATCATCAGCATTTTTTTATTTTACAACACCAGGGTTCATTCCGCTTATTCATTTATTTGTTTTACTTGATGCGCCAGTGGTGTGTGTACCGATGGAAGGTCAAGATTAGCGGCTCTCTTATGCTGGCGTTAGATATTTACAAGTCGTTCTCTGTTTAGAAAACTCTTTTAAAATTCGGGTGGTTTGCGAAATGACAAGAGGGCTGTCAATAACATCGTAAACTTTCCCCCTACCCCGAGGAAAATATAGCTGCAGCCATTGGTGTTTTTATTCACAAATATCGAACCGATATCGAGTACAATATCGAACGCCATATTGAACGGTTGTATGGCAGCCAATGCCAATTAATAGGCACATGGTACAGTTGGACTCGAACAGATACTAGACCTTACTTAAGAATGTGAAAAAGGTTTTCATTTCGTCGCCTTAATAGCAAACTTTTATTACATACGTTTTATTAAAACACATAGCCTGTCCTGCTATAACTCATTATGCAATCTGATCATGCATTGATATATAATGAAACTAAATTTACATGAATATAATACCTTTCAAAACGATATACATGAATATCTCTTACCTGTCCTCGTGGTATAGCATCATGTAGGTTTGGTCGGGAGACTGGGATCAATATAAAACTCTTGCTTTAAAATTATCCCCAAAGTGTGTTTATAGGACGCATATTGATTCTCATCTGCATACAATTCTCATTGAGACATTGTAATAGAACAAAAGTGGCACGATTATAAAACTTTATTGCATATTAATTGATTTTTGTAAACGTATTTAAATATTCAATGAAAAGACCGTTACCACGGCTTGGGCATAACACGAGCACTTGTTACCGCTAACCGATTGGTCTGAGAGATCTGGGATGGTTACTGTGCTGTGATTGACAGCTGGTCGATGTGTATAGCACATTTAGCACGTGACTTGTAGAACGTAGAGACGTGATATTGACAACGGTACTTGCCGGTCAGCAGTGGATTCTAGCCGTGGATAATAAATCTGTTTTCGTAAGTATATATCGTTTATAGAGATTATGTAATTTTAAAACTATAAACATATATGCTAAATGATCGAGTGGATATCTTGTATACAGATTGTCATTTTGAAAATCTAACATAGGTGTTCTATGATTGAGTGTATTTTGTACAAGAATTATCTCATTTTGAAACTCCCCATATGTGTTCTGTCATCGAGTTTATATTTTGTACAGGGATTATCTCTTTTTTTAACCTCCATCATATGTGTTCTATCATCGAGCTCATATTTCGTATAGAGATTTTTCCATTTTGAAACTCCAACGTATGTGTTCTGTCATAGAGTTGATATTTCGTATAGAGATTCTGTGGTTTTGAAACTCCAACATATGTGTTCTATGATCGAGTAGATATCTTTTATAGATATCATGTCATTTTGAAACTCTAACATGTATGTTCTATGATAGAGTGTATTTTTCTGTACAAGAATTATTTCATTTTGAACTCTACCGTATGTGTTCCATCATCGAGTGAATATGTCGTATTTGAGATTGTGTCATTTTGAAACTCAAACATATGTGTTCTATCATCGAGTGGATATCTCGTATTGAGATTGTGTCATTTTGAAACCCCATCATGTGCGTTCTATCATCGAGTTGATATCTCGTATTGAGATTGTGTCATTTTGAAACTCAAACATATGTGTTCTATTATCGAGTTGATATCTCGTATTGAGATTGTGTCATTTTGAAACTCCAACATGTCTGTTCCATCATGGAGTTGATATCTCGTATTGAGATTGTGTCATTTTGAAACTCCAACATGTCTGTTCCATCATCGAGTTGATATCTCCTATTGAGATTGTGTCATTTTGAAACTCCATCATGTCTGTTCCATCATCGAGTTGATATCTCGTATTGAAATTGTGTCATTTTGAAACTCCAACATATGTGTCCATCACATGAAAACGAAGAGGCTTTCGTCTTTGTGAAGGTTGTTCTTATAGACTATTCATTTCTATGAAAAGGAATAAAGAACCTTAAATCATCGTAAGTTCGTGTCTTCCTACTAAACGTTGCAAAAAGTATTCGCCCAAAAAGCATGTGCGAGATGTTATTGTCTTCTAATTGATGATAAAATGGCAATAACAAACACATGTTTATCTTAACAAAGTTTTGAGCATGTTTGCTTCTAATACTGCCCTTTTAATACGTTGATGATGGACATAGTTGCATTAGGAACTGATTTTCAGCAAAACATGATTGTCGTAAGCGATGACTAACTGGGTGGTCAGGCTCTCTGACCAGTGCCCCGTTCTTCATAGCGATCGTAAGGCTAAGATGATCGTAACTCCCATACTTTAACATAGACTTACGGCTGTCGTAGCGCTACGATCGCTTTGACGAACGGGGCCCAGGTCGACACATCGTGTCACAGTAGAGTAGGTCGATACCCATCATCCTTATCACTGGATTGTCTGATCCAGACTCAAGTATTTACAGACCTCCGTAATGGAGCTAGAATGTTGTTGTGTTGGGCCTTAAACAAATAAAAAATAAAACAGGATGACAGTTGAAGCAGATGGAAACATGGTGTTACGTATCCTCTTAAACACTATGTGGATGGTAATACACTGTTGATGATATGCTGCAAACAGGGCGACGGAGATTTAAAGAAAACTGACAGAACACGATACACGTCAAGGTTATGAAAATCAGTATGTCCTGTATTACATAATGTGAAATGTTGGCTCCCTCGGTCTGATTTGCTGCTATATAATTGAGAAATGTTTGCTCCCTTCGCATGTACTGGTGTCGTTGAAATGGGAAATGTTTGCTCCCTTCGCATGTACTGGTGTCGTTGAAATGGGAAATGTTTGCTCCCTTCGCATGTACTGGTGTTATTGCAATGGGAAATGTTTGCTTCCTCGGCCTGCACTGCTGTTGTCACAATGGGAAATGTACTGCTGTTGTTACAATGGGAAATGTTTGCTTCCTCGGCCTGCACTGCTGTTCTTACAATGGGAAATGTTTGCCCCCTCGGTCTGTACTGCTGTTGTTACAATGGGAAATGTTTACTCCCTCGGTCTGTACTGCTGTTGTTACAATGGGAAATGTTTGCTCCCTCGGTCTGTACTGCTGTTGTCACAATGGGAAATGTTTGCTTCCTCGGCCTGCACTGCTGTTGTCACAATGGGAAATGTTTACCCCCTCGGACTGTACTGCTGTTGTTACAATGGGAAATGTTTACCCCCTCGGTCTGTACTGCTGTTGTCACAATGGGAAATGTTTGCTTCCTCGGCCTGTACTGCTGTTGTTACAATGGGAAATGTTTACCCCTCGGTCTGTGCTGTTGTACTGCTGTTGTCACAATGGGAAATGTGCTTTACTGCACTGCTGTTGTCACAATGGGAAATGTTTCTGTACAATGGGAAATGCCCCCTTGTCACAATGGGAAATGTTTGCCCTCGGTCTGTACTGCTGTTTGTTACAATGGGAAATGTTTCCCCTCGGTCTGTACTGCTGTTGTTACAATGGGAAATGTTTCCCCCCTCGGTCTGTACTGCTGTTGTTACAATGGGAAATGTTTGCTCCCTCGGTCTGTACTGCTGTTGTTACAATGGGAAATGTTTGCCTTTCAGTCTGTACTGCTATTTTCGACATTGGAAATGTTCGCTCTGTACTGCTGGGTCGTTGAGTTTCCGAAACCAGCACCATGTTTGTTCCACCAGACGCCCCTCCCCTGTCAGTGTAGTTGACTATGAAACAGGGGGATTACATTGTTTCCATAAAGAGTGAGTGAGTGAGTTTCACGCCGCTTTTAGCATTATTCCAGCTATATCACGCCGGGGGGCACCAGAAATGGGCTTCATAGTTTCTGTGAAGATGTAGCAGAGGACAGTTATGAACCAGCTTGTATGGACTGGGGGTCAAGATTAATCTACAAGCCTGAAGACATTTCTGGAATCGTTTTGCTATACATATACAGAGCAAGTAGATTCCTTTGTTGTCTCATATTACAACACGACCATCCCATTACCACTGGGTTCACTGATATTTTATTTAATACGGCCATTGTCAATGTGCTGCCATTGTATTGTATACTGCTCTTCTGTTGTGTACTGCCATTATGTTCTTGTATTTTTGTATTGATTTGCAAACCCAGTGTATTTTAGAAAACAATTGTAAACTGAGTTACATTTCTTTGTTGTTCGTTGGTTTTAGCCTGGCGTATAGATTTCTGAATTAACTACTTGAAGTTATTGTTTCAACTTTGAAATCGATAGGTAACAGAAGTTGGGGATTCATCCGGGGTCTTAATTTGAGGACTCGAGAAGTGTTGACACCTGTTTTTTCAAAGTGTATGAAGCGCGAAATTGTATTTCTGTTTTGTCTATTGAGAGACTCTTAGACTGCAGTCTTGAACGCTAATGAGCTGGTTCCTGAAGTTAAAAGGCAAATGTTTTAATAGGTTTTTGATTGTTAATTGCCTAACACAATTTAATCGCAGTATCACGGCGATCCTTAATCAGTCGAATCTGGACCACACAGCCCAGTAAAGCAATCACCCATTCCGGTACACCACCGGGCTACCAAAGAGGAATCAATTATAAACACTCATTCACTTCACAATTGCTATTGTTATCATTTTCAGAAGGAAGTTATGGCGGCTGCTGTCGACATTGTGATAATGACCATTATGGCAGGTAGGTGACGTAGACAATTACACATTGTGGGAGTATTTTAAATTATCGCCGGTGTTATTATGTGCTTGAAGACATTAAAAAACTTCCCACATGTATTTATTACCAAAGAATAACAAGGGAAATAATAATTTGAATTTAGCTATCATAGATGTGACACTTACAATGAGTGAGTGAGTTTAGTTTTACGCCGCTTTTAGCAATATTCCAGCAATATCACGGCCGGGGACACCAGAAATGGGCTTCACACATTTTTACCGATATGGGGAATCGAACGCGGGTCTTTAGCGTGACGAGCGAACGCTTGAACCATTAGGCAACCCCACCGTCCCTACTTACAAAAAGTGGCATTGTAACTTTTAATCCCAATGAAAATTTACTCGAAAGACTAACAGAGGACCTTTAATTGTTGCCTTTTTCTGCGATATTGGGCCCTATTGTCTCCAAAATTTCAACAAAGAGCTCCACGAGTATCCTACTCCCCTGATTTGGATTGTCCTGCTTCAACCTCTGGACAAGGTGGTAGTGCTGACAGTATTCCAGTGTGTCTCGCCATAGGGGTCAGCGAGTTTCGGACCCACATCTGGCGGCGTCACTTCTTCTTTCACGTTGTCGTATCATTGCCAAGTTGTAGTTAATAACGTCTACCAATTGTGCTTCGGCTTCAGTCTGCAGGACAAGGCCAAGACGATATCCCCAGAGTCAATATCCATCTTTTTCAGTGTTTCCAGTGCTTGTCAGGCGACGCGGGAATGACGAGATCGCAGGCGGTCCCGGTCCTTTTTATACGATTTTGGGAGCGCACTCGCTAAGACTCTCAATTGGCGTCTTGGGGAAGTTGCATAGTTCTCAATGCGGTCTTCTGAAACGTCCTCATCGTCGTACTGGAGTCGCAATAAATTCGCATAGAGTCGTACTACTCGTACTCGCTGTGGGGCGCTGTTGGCGCTGGTTGGCGCCGTTCGGCAGAAGCTCGCCTGGAAGCTCGCCAGAAAGTCACACCAGGGGCCACGACCGCATTGCGGCCTGTAGTTGCGTCTCAACCATGTCGCCATAAAAATGAACATTCTAAAGTTTTTGGTCGTAGTCAAATCGCACACCCTGTTCCGTATAAATGCAAAGGGGCGATCGGTCGCCATAAAGTACGCGACCAGTGCAATCGCTGGTCGCAGTCAGGTCTCGGACAGGTCACGTCTCGGTGTAAACATATCTAACCAACCGAGAAATCATTATAATAAGGGAAAGGCGAATTTCAAAATGGGTCTTTAAAACCGGTTCTATTCAGCCTGCCGGAAAATCAAGACGTTTTATGACCCGACCAGGCTACCATTGGTACCAAAATTGGAATGGCAGCGACAGAGGCTGTCTGTACCGTTACTCCATGTAAAGATGAATCAAAGTTTTGTTTCTTATTCACAAAAGGCAGAAGACGTTATCGGCGACGTAGCGGAGATCAGTATGCTAGGGCAAGACTTCTTGACTATGATGTAACATCAGCTAGTATTTTAATTGCTCGATTACAGCTAGTGTTTAATATTGGTTACCGTTAGATAAAGCCATTCGTGGCCTAAGTGATGACGTAAATCCTCATATAGGAAGCAGCAGTATCGCAAGCCCCCTTAATCCCCTGGAAGATGGGAAATCCTGGAATGTAATATTTTAATGTAGAATTGATTGGTTTGTTTGATACGTAGCTGTGATGCGGAACATTCCGTTTTACTGTCCTTTGTAGACAGACGTTTATTTATAATTAACTTGGTCTCATCGCTATGTGGCTGCAACATTGCCCATGCGATGTAAAACTTTAACTCACTCACTAACTTTTGACTAAGGTCTGTTTGTTGTGGTAAGAAGCGACTAACGGGATCGGGTGGTCGGGCTCGCTGACTTGGTTGACACATGTCATTGTATCCCATTTGCATAGATCGATGCTAATGCTGATGATCACTGAATTGTCTGGTCCAGGCTCAATTATTTACATACCGCCGCCATATAGCTGGAATATTGCGGCGTGTGGCGTTAAACAACCAACCAACCTTCATTAATAAGCCATCCGCCTCCGTGGTGTAGTGGTTAGAGCATCCGCCCGGAGAGCGGAAGGTCGTGGGTTCGATCCCCGACCGCGTCATACCAAAAGACGTTAAAATATGCTACTTGTTGGTCCCTGCCTGGCGCTCGGCACATATGGGTACAACAAGGACTGGTCGGCTCGGAGTCAGTATAATGTGTCTGAGTGGGGTATTCATGCTTCACTGCGGCATGGTATCTCAGTGGGCTAGCACTATAAAACCAGCTTAAGTCTGGGCTAGTACAAGCAGCCGCACATACACATACACATGCATGCACGTCGTCATATGAGCGAAATATTCTCAAGCACGACGTTAAACTCAATTTCACCTCACCTCAGCTCATTAATAAGCCACGATGACGTAGCGAGCCAGGTCTGGAGATGGTGTCCTCGGACTTATGAATTTCCTGAGGCCCGCATCGTATTGTCACCTATCTCTGGCACGACTTCATAGTTTAAAACTAACCTAGCCATTGTGTGTTTGATCTCCCCAATTAATACTTGAGTAGCTCTATGAAATGTGTTATTGTAAAAAAACATGATGAGTCAAAAGTTGCAATTCGAACAGAGAAGGAACTGCACTATTACCTACGGATGCATGTAAGTTGAGCGGATGCTGCGTTGACTCTGTCAATATTCCCGGGAGGTGTTTTTGTTGCAGCACAGCGTAACGACAACATCGTCGACCCAGTATTCCAAGACAATGGATGCTGATGTAGACACAATGCCATTCTACAGAAAGGGAAATTACATAAATAATGATCGATTGAATTAATTCTTCTTACTTTGATATTTGCATGATTTTTTTTCTGCTCAAATAACCTTCAGAGAGCCCAAACAAATACAATGGAATTTACATAACTGGACATGTTTTTAAAAACAATGCAATGCTTGTATAACGGATAATTATTTATTGATGGCATACTACAATGAAGACACCTTTTGCGTCCTGAACAGTGGATAAATCGACATGTACTGCTGAAAACAAGTTTATAATCACTTTCTTTCACATCAGTATGGAATGACAGAATAATTATTGACAGGAAAGTAGCGGGTGTTCCTGAACTTCTTTTAAGTAGGATATGTTTGATGGTTCCATAACATTGCTATATAGTCTTTGTCTTGGATGACCGACACGTGAAGATCCGGTTTAGAATTGGTCTTCAGCAAACTATGCTTGTCGTAAGAGGCGCCTAACAGGATCGGATGGTCAGGCTCGCTTATTGGTTGACACATGTCATCGTATCCCAATTGCGTAGATCGATGCTCATGATGTCAATCACTGGACTCGATTATTTACAGATCGCCGCCATATAGCTGTAATATTGGTGAGTGCAAACTACAAGCAAACAAACTTAAATGAACCGGTGCTGACTGTGAACGAGTGTTAATTTCCCCACGATGATATGTGTCCACTGTCTTCTTTCAGCAGTGATCTCAGCGTCAACTCTGCCCACCTCAATGACGACATGGACGTTGTACACAGACAAGAGATCCTGGAATGAAGCACAGTTCTTCTGTGAAGCACTGGGCTCCGAGCTGCTGTACTTGAAAGACGCCACTATGGAGCAACGTGCTGAACAACTAGGACAACAGGCGCCGTGGAAGACGCATCTTGGCTTGTAAGGAACAAAAATGTTTCACTGTGCGACATTGCAGCAAAATAAGCAAATAATCGAGTGAGGATAAGACAGATTGGTGATTCTTATTGAGAGCAACAATTCACGTCGAGAGGGAGAGAAAGCATGGGCATGAGCATGCAACAATGCTTACCGTAAGAGGTGACTGACTAACCGGGTGGTCAAGCTCGCTGACCAGGTCGATACATGATATCGTGTCACAGTAGAGTAGGTCGATCATATCTATCACCCTTGTCTGATCCAGAATATTATCTACAGACCTCCGAAATAAAGCTATTGGGATGTTGTTGAGAGAGGTTTTTAAACATTAAAATATGTAGCTTTTCAGGAATGGCAGAAACTGTGAAAACCAACGTGTTACCGCAAAAAGGTTTAACATTAAACGTATATCTATATTATCATGGACATGTATGCCTGATACGTATATACACTGATATTTGTATTACAAAGCCTATGCACTAGTGCTTGCGTTACACGGTATATACACTGATACCTTATATTACACAGGCTATGAATTCCTTATTGTGTTGCACAGTAAATACATTGATACGTTTTACGTAATCATCAGTAGGTTATTCTAATAAACACGTGGATATAAAACACCAACTTACTCCCTGGTACACAATGTTCATATACATGTTGTATCTCCCATCAAGCCTGAAGTCCCACTTTATTGGACTATACAACAAGGTCGAGTCTGTCCCAGGCAGCTACTCATGGTTGGACTGCGAGGTTGCCGACACCATTACCGCCAACTGGGCCAGTGAACTGGAACCATTTTTGGCGACAAAACAGTTGTGCTTCAGGTGGTTTCCAAATAAGGGGTTCGCTACCGCCGATTGCAAGGCTGACAATCAATATGTCTGCGAAAAAGTTGGAGGTATGGCTGACAGACATAGAGTGCAGGTTAATGTTGTAGTGTGCAGATTAGTGTTGTAGTGTGCAGGTTAGTGTTGTAGTGTGTATATTACTGTTGTAGTGTGTACATGTATATTAGTGTTATAGTGTGTACATGTATATTAGTGTTGTAGTGTGTACATGTATATTAGTGTTATAGTGTGTACATGTATATTAGTGTTATAGTATGTACATGTATATTAGTGTTGTAGTGTGTACATGTATATTAGTGTTCTAGTATGTACATGTATATTACTGTTGTAGTGTGTACATGTATATTAGTGTTATAGTGTGTACATGTATATTAGTGTTCTAGTATGTACATGTATATTAGTGTTGTAGTGTGTACATGTATATTAGTGTTATAGTGTGTACATGTATATTAGTGTTGTAGTGTGTACATGTATATTAGTGTTCTAGTATGTACATGTATATTAGTGTTGTAGTGTGTACATGTATATTAGTGTTGTAGTGTGTACATGTATATTAGTGTTATAGTGTGTACATGTATATTAGTGTTGTAGTGTGTACATGTATATTAGTGTTGTAGTGTGTACATGTATATTAGTGTTCTAGTATGTACATGTATATTAGTGTTGTAGTGTGTACATGTATATTACTGTTGTAGTGTGTACATGTATATTAGTGTTATAGTGTGTACATGTATATTAGTGTTGTAGTGTGTACATGTATATTAGTGTTGTAGTGTGTACATGTATATTAGTGTTGTAGTGTGTACATGTATATTAGTGTTGTAGTGTGTACATGTATATTAGTGTTGTAGTGTGTACATGTATATTAGTGTTGTAGTGTGTACATGTATATTAGTGTTGTAGTGTGTACATGTATATTAGTGTTGTAGTGTGTACATGTATATTAGTGTTATAGTGTGTACATGTATATTAGTGTTGTAGTGTGTACATGTATATTAGTGTTGTAGTGTGTACATGTATATTAGTGTTCTAGTATGTACATGTATATTAGTGTTGTAGTGTGTACATGTATATTACTGTTGTAGTGTGTACATGTATATTAGTGTTATAGTGTGTACATGTATATTAGTAGTGTGTACATGTATATTAGTGTTTGTAGTGTGTACATGTATATTAGTGTTATAGTGTGTACATGTATATTAGTGTTGTAGTGTGTACATGTATATTAGTGGTGTAGTGTGTACATGTATATTAGTGTTGTTGCGTGTACATGTATATTAATGTTGTAGTGTGTACATGTATATTACTGTTGTAGTGTGTACATGTATATTAATGTTGTAGTGTGTACATGTATATTAGTGTTGTAGTGTGTACATGTATATTAATGTTGTAGTGTGTACATGTATATTAGTGTTATAGTGTGTACATGTATATTAGTGTTGTAGTGTGTATGTATATTACTGTTGTAGTCTGTACATGTATATTAGTGTTGTAGTATGTACATGTATATTATATGTTGTGGTGTTACATGTATATTAATGTGTACATGTATATTAGTGTTGTAGTATGTACATGTATATTAGTGTTGTAGTGTGTACATGTATATTACTGTTGTAGTGTGTGTATATTAGTGTATATGTACATGTATATTAGTGTTGTAGTGTGTATGTATATTACTGTTGTAGTGTGTACATGTATATTAGTGTTGTAGTATGTACATGTATATTAGTGTTGTAGTGTGTACATGTATATTAGTGTTGTAGTGTGTACATGTATATTAGTGTTGTAGTATGTACATGTATATTAGTGTTGTAGTATGTACATGTATATTAGTGCTGTAGTGTGTACATGTATATTAGTGTTGTAGTGTGTACATGTATATTAGTGTTGTAGTGTGTACATGTATATTAGTGTTGTAGTATGTACATGTATTTTAGTGTTGTAGTGTGTACATGTATATTAGCGTTGTAGTATGTACATGTATATTAGTGTTGTAGTATGTACATGTATATTAGTGTTGTAGTGTGTACATGTATATTAGTGTTGTAGTGTGTACATGTATATTAGTGTTGTAGTGTGTACATGTATTTTAGTGTTGTAGTGTGTACATGTATATTAGCGTTGTAGTATGTACATGTATATTAGTTGTTGTAGTGTGTAGATGTATATTAGTGTTGTAGTGTGTAGATGTATATTAGTGTTGAAGTATGTACATGTATATTAGTGTTGTGGTGTGTACATGTATATTAGTGGTGTAGTTTGTACATGTATATTAGTGTTGTAGTGTGTACATGTATATTAGTGTTGTAGTGTGTACATGTATATTAGTGTTGTAGTGTGTACATGTATATTAGTGTTGTAGTATGTACATGTATATTAGTGTTGAAGTATGTACATGTATATTAGTGTTGTAGTGTGTACATGTATATTAGTGTTGTAGTGTGTACATGTATATTAGTGCTGTAGTGTGTACATGTATATTAGTGTTGTAGTGTGTACATGTATATTAGTGTTGTAGTGTGTACATGTATATTAGTGTTGTAGTATGTACATGTATTTTAGTGTTGTAGTATGTACATGTATATTAGCGTTGTAGTATGTACATGTATATTAGTGTTGTAGTATGTACATGTATATTAGTGTTGTAGTGTGTACATGTATATTAGTGTTGTAGTGTGTACATGTATATTAGTGTTGTAGTGTGTACATGTATTTTAGTGTTGTAGTGTGTACATGTATATTAGCGTTGTAGTATGTACATGTATATTAGTTGTTGTAGTGTGTAGATGTATATTAGTGTTGTAGTGTGTAGATGTATATTAGTGTTGAAGTATGTACATGTATATTAGTGTTGTAGTGTGTACATGTATATTAGTGTTGTAGTGTGTACATGTATATTAGTGTTGTAGTGTGTACATGTATATTAGCGTAGTAGTATGTACATGTATATTAGTTGTTGTAGTGTGTAGATGTATATTAGTGTTGTAGTGTGTAGATGTATATTAGTGTTGAAGTATGTACATGTATATTAGTGTTGTAGTGTGTACATGTATATTAGTGTTGTAGTGTGTACATGTATATTAGTGTTGTAGTGTGTACATGTATATTAGTGTTGTAGCAGGCTTGTGTTGTAGTGCACATGGAAATACAGTTATGTGTAGGCTGGTGTTGTACTGCAATGTACCTGTTAACTGTATAGTGTGCTGTGTGAAGCTAAATGGCGTAGGTTAATACTTTTCACGTTAATACAATGGTGTGCAGTTTATTGCTATTAATTGCAGAGCAATACATAAGCAGTCAATACAGACTAAACTGTAATTTCAACACTGACATGTTAACTATCTGTTTTCAAGATGATGTCGACACTGTAATGCACCCATGTGATTGAAACATTCCGACACCAGGCGCGTAGCAAGCCAAGTTTTCCCTGTAACCACGACAGTCGCAAAGCTTTATATTTAGATAGTATTTGGGGCTTGTCTAACCTTTTTAGCAACAATCATGTGTAAGCCCAGGCTTTTTTTAATAATGGTAGCTACGCCCCTGGGCACATATTAGGGGGATACATCTCAGACCCATCATATCACATTACATCAAGTCCAGGCATGTGAACATCATATTTTCATCCTAGTTATTTTGAAAGCTTGACCGCTGTTTCTTCTTCTTTTTTTTTGAGTGTGAGAAGGTAAGTATTTTTTATATTTTTTAAATATTTGTTTTGGTAATTTAAATTTTATTTCTGAATCCCTGTTGCAGTCAAAACTAAGCAGCCAGGGGAAAGCTCAGTCTGAAGATATACAGTAATTTAATGGGATACAGGTGGAATATTTTACGAAACAAGACAATCCATTCACTCACCATTCACACAAGTACAAGATTATTTTTAATTATCAGACATATTAATAATATAATTAATTCAGTCGTCTTTGAATAAGCCATGATATAAGGGCCATTTCGAATAAAATTCAGCGTTACAGCTTTTGTTAACAAAAATACATGACCGCTGTTTCTGATGAAGATTATGATCACTTCATTACTTTTCCCATGTCTACGTCTATTTAAACTGCCGTTGGTATTGTACCACCATTACATTTTGAACTGCCATGACAGAAATTTGAGTAAATATGTAAGGCTAGTTAATGTTATAATGCAATTGTGAATTATCTAACAATTCTTTTTTATTGATCAAACAATGAAATCGAGGGGGTATCAGGCTAAAACGTCACCACAGCAAAACGGCACCTGGCGAAAACGGCACTATTTGGACATAACGGAACCTCGACTTGGCGAAAAGGGCTACAAATCTCACATCATACTGTGTTTTGTATATGGTGCCGTTTTAGCTCGGAAATCAGTAGCCGTTTTCGCCAATACGGTGCCGTCTTCACCAAACGATTTTGGTGCCGTTCTGCTGTGGTGCCGTTTTAGCTATAACCCAATCCAGGGTATAGTTACAGAGTTAACGTTTTGTTCTTATTTAGAAATCGAAACGTAATACTTGCCACGAGTAAAAATATTCGACTGATTTTTCCTTATCTAAAGTTTAGCAGGAGCTCTCTTTGACACTCGTTCTTTTTAAAAGAACACAAACGTCAATATACACTCATGATTTGAACAAAGTTAAAAAAGTCTGTATCTCTAAGTAGGCGTTGTTTTGACGTCGTTTTTTTATCAGTCAATCGATTAATTCGATTTTGCTATGTTAAAAATGAAAACGTCTTCAGTATGAATAGTGGGAAGGGGACACGTTTTATAATCAAGTTACTGATTTTTGCATTACTGGATTTCAATGATCCATTTGCTCTTAATGGACTTTTTACTGCAGAGAGTAGGGGCTGATTCCAATCTGTATACGGTATATGTTTACCATCGGAATTCCTTTATTTCTATTGTTTATCAATAATGTACCGGGTTCAGCAATTGAATTGAACTGATCTTCAGCAACCCATGCTTGTCGTAAGAGGCGACTAACGGGATCGGGTGGTCAGGCTCGCTGACTTGGTTGACACATGTCATCGTATCCCAATTTTGTAGATCGATGCTGCTGATCACTAGATTGTCTGGTCCAGACTCGATTATGTACAGACCGCAGCCATTTAGCTGGAATATTGCTGTGTGACGCTAGGCAACAAACAAACAAACAAACAAACAAACAAACAAATCATCAATAATATGTTCAAAAAGCTTCTAAAAAAAGAAATCGTTTTGTATAATCGTCGGAGATGTTTAATATATTTTCTGTTCCACTGACTCTTCTCCTTCTCGGATCTAGTATTCATTGAACGCGGATGCAAAATTCCCAGACTAAACCACAGTTGATCAATGTCTCTGTTTCACGTAGTGATCAGTTAATTTGTTGTTTTTTCCACAAATGGCATGAATACGCAATGTCTTTGTGGTCAAATGTGACATATGCTTTATTTTGGATTACACGAGTTCAGATTCAAATACTTTTTGGGTTGAGTCCCATCCGGAATTCGAACCCACACTGTTAGGTGGAGAGTGTTAGCTCTCTGACTTGGCGTACTGCCGATTAGTGAGAGTGTGGGTTCGAATCTCGGATGGCATTCGGCCTCCAAAAGTACTAAATCTGTTTTTACTGAGAAAGTGTAATTCCAAATTCATATATGTTTCACATTTGACATGCTATTAAAACTTAAACTCAGCTCCATCATACGACATTTAACCAGAATTACGACATTTAACCAGAATTACACCTTTTACAGGCGCCTGTAATTATGAGCTGGTCCCTGACAGTCGTGGCGTGGACGTCGCCCCTTATGAAGCAGGTGCCCTCTCTGTGAGCGAGTGCCAAGGTCTGTGTGACGTGGCTGTTGAGGGAACCATGGAGTGCTGGGCCTTTACCTCGTCACCAACAAACTGTGATCTTCATTTCGCTTCAGACTCAGCTCATTTCGACAATATGGATAATGTAGCTACCTCAACAGGAGAAGACCTGTTTAAAAAGTCATGCTTTGAAAGTGAGTCGTACAACGTTCTTTCTTTCATTTATTTCCTTTCTTCCTTTATTTCTTAGACCGTTTGTCCGAAAAAATAACTTTGTTCAAAACAGGTTGATCTCATGGTGATATTCAGCTACTAGTATTGCCTGAAAGAATATTTCGACTGTTTTTTTATCGCCTCAGTATTTTCCAGCTGTATGACGGCGGCCTGGAAATAACCGAATCTGGATCACAGAATCAATTAACTTAACTGGCAAATAACATTCAACCAAGTCAGCGAATCTGACCACCCGATCCCCCGAGTTACCTCTTTCGACACGCCTGGATTGCGGAAGATTAATTCCCATGCTTTATGAAACTTGAACGCTTCAGCGTGACAGCCCATAAAGAACAAAGACTTGTCTGCACGAACCTTCAGTCTCCCACAAGTCTAAATGGTGAAGATCTGTAGTATTTGCCTGTGCTCTAAGATAGAGAACTTTTGTCAGTTCTCTGTCTGGTGACAGTACATTTATCCCTATAGAGTGCTGATACACATCTTGTTACACACTTTACGCTCACGTATTGACCCGTGAACATCCGGGTTAGAACTGGTCGTCATGGACTATCTGTGTGTTGTCGAAAGAAGCGACTAACGTGATCGGGTGGTCAGGCTCGCTGAATTTATTGACACGTCATCGTATTCCAATTGCGTACACCGATGCTCATGCTGTTGATCAATATTGTCTAGTCCAGAACAAAACAAAACAAACATCTATGACTAGCTCTGGAAGTCGACTCCATGGGCCCATTTCACAAAGTGATTCTAGTCTGACTTGAAGTATTGACAATAACCATTGATTTGTGGGCATAGTTATGAAGGTAAAACATCATTTCACAGATGTGGTCAATGATACCAACTTTCCATCGACCGACCTCGTCTCGGCCAAACCTTTCACATCATGTCCGGGATCAGTGGGCACTGGGAATACATCGGGTGAGTGATCCAGGGGGTTAGTAACAGGTGAGTGTGAGATGTTAGTATCAGGTGAGTGAGAGATGTTAGTATCAGGTGAGTGATCCAGGGGGTTAGTATCAGGTGAGTGTGAGATGTTAGTATCAGGTGAGTGAGAGATGTTAGTATCAGGTGAGACAGAAGGGGGGTTAGTATCAGGTGAGTGTGAAATGTTAGTATCAGGTGAGTGTGAGAAGTTAGTATCAGGTGAGTGAACGATGGGTTCATTAACAGGTGAGTGTTTGGCTGTAGGTGAGTGTGAGAAGTAAGTATCCAGTGAGTGAACGAGGAGGTTATTAACAGGTGAATGTATGAATTTAGTATCCGGTGAGTAAGCGAGGGGATTATTAACAGGTGAGTGTGAGATGTTAGTATCAGGTGAGTAAACGAGGGAGTTATTAACAGGTGAGTGTTTGGCTGTAGGAGAGTGTGAGATGTTAGTAGCAGGTGAGTGAACGAGGGGGTTATTAACAGGCGAATGTTTGGATGTAGGAGAGTGTGAGATGTTAGTATCAGGTGAGTGAACGAGGGGGTTATTAACAGGTGAATGTGAGATGTTAGTATCAGTTGAGTGAAAGAAGGGGTTATTAACAGGTGAGTGTGAGATGTTAGTATCAGTTGAGTGAACGAGGCAGTTATTAACAGGTGAGTGTGATAGGTTAGTATCAGGTGAGTGAACGAGGGGGTTATTAACATGTGAATGTGAGATGTTAGTATCAGGTGAGTGAACGGGGGGCTATTAACAGGTGAGTGTTTGGCTGTAGCTGAGTGTGAGATGTTAGTATCCGGTGAGTGAATGAGGGGGTTATTAACAGTTGAATGTGAGAAGTAAGCATCCAGTGAGTAAACGGGGGGTTATAAACAGGTGAGTGTGAGATGTTAGTATCAGGTGAGTGAACGAAGGGTTTATTAACAGGTGAGTGTGAGAAGTTAGTATCAGGTGAGTGACGGAAGGGGTTATTAACAGGTGAGTGTGAGATGTTAGTATCAGGTGAGTGAACGAAGGGTTTAGTAACAGGTGAGTGTGAGAAGTTAGTATCAGGTGAGTGAACGAGGGGGTTAGTAACAGGTGAGTGTGAGAAGTTAGTATCAGGTGAGTGAACGAGGGGGTTATTAACAGGTGAGTGTGATATGTTAGTATCAGGTGACTGAACGTAGGGTTTAGTAACAGGTGAGTGTGAGAAGTTAGTATCAGGTGAGTGAACGAGGGGGTTATTAACAGGTGAGTGTTTGGCTGTAGCTGAGTGTGGGATGTTAGTATCCGGTGAGTGAACGAGGGGGTTATTAACAGTTGAATGTGAGAAGTAAGCATCCAGTGAGTAAACGGGGGGTTATAAACAGGTGAGTGTGAGATGTTAGTATCAGGTGAGTGAACGAAAGGTTTTTTAACAGGTGAGTGTGAGAAGTTAGTATCAGGTGAGTGACGGAAGGGGTTATTAACAGGTGAGTGTGAGATGTTAGTATCAGGTGAGTGAACGAAGGGTTTAGTAACAGGTGAGTGTGAGAAGTTAGTATCAAGTGAGTGAACGAGGGGGTTATTAACAGGTGAGTGTGATAGGTTAGTATCAGGTGAGTGAACGAAAGGTGTATTAACATGTGAATGTGAGATGTTAGTATCCGGTGAGTGAACGAGGGGTTATTAACAGGTCAGTGTGAGATGTTAGTATCCAGTGAGTGAACGAGGGGGTTATTAACAGGTGAGTGTGAGAAGTTCGTATCAGGTGAGTGAACGAGGGACTTATTAACAGGTGAGTGTGAGAAGTTAGTATCAGGTGAGTGAACGAGGGGGTTATTAACATGTGAATGTGAGATGTTAGTATCCGCTGAGTGAACGATGGGGTTATTTACAGGTGAGTGTGAGATGTTAGTATCAGGTGAGTGAACGAAGGGGTTAGTAACAGGTGAGTGTGAGATGTTAGTATCAGGTGAGTGAACGAGTGAGTTATTAACAGGTGAGTGTTTTGCTGTAGGTAAGTGTGAGATGTTAGTATCAGGTGAGTGACCGAGGGGTTTATTAACAGGTGAGTGTGAGATGTTAGTATCAGGTATGTGAACAAAGGGGTTATTAACAGATGAGTGTGAGATGTTAGTATCCAGTGAGTGAACGAAGGGTTTATTAACATGTGAATGTGAGAAGTTAGTATCAGGTGAGTAAACGTGTGCGGTTATTAACAGGTGAGTGTGAGATGTTAGTATCCGGTGATTGAACGAGGGGGTTATTAACATGTGAGTGTGAGATGTTAGTATCCGGTGAGTGAACGAGGGGGCTATTAACATGTGAGTGTGAGATGTTAGTAACCAGTGAGTAGACGAGGGGGTTATTAACAGGTGAGTGTGAGATGTTAGTATCAGGTGAGTGAACGTGGAGGTTATTAACAGGTGAGTGTGAGATGTTAGTAACCAGTGAGTAAACGAGGAGGTTATTAACAGGTGAGGTGAGAGATGTAAGTATCAGGTGAGTGAACGAGGGGTTAGTAACAGGTGAATGTGAGAAGTTAGTATCCAGTGAGTGAACGAGGGGGTTAGTAACAGGTGAATGTGAGAAGTAAGTATCCGGTGAGTGAACGAGGGGGTTAGTAACAGGTGAATGTGAGAAGTTAGTATCCTGTGACTGAAGGCATAAAGGTGTGAAAGTGAGGGCATTCAACATCAGGTGAGAGAGATGTTAGTGGCAGGTGTACGAGAGGTTAGTATCAGGTGAGTGAGGTGAGAGAGGTTAGAGTCAGGTGAGAGAGGGCGTTTGGCATGCAGTGAGTGAGTTCAGAATTAAGTAGGTACAATGAGTGGGTGTGGGTTCAGGCCGCTTCAATATGGGCTTAGTTATATTTATTTGAAATCGGTCATTGTGCCACGGCGTGACAGGTAAACGCTTGAACCATATAGCCCTCACACCACGTTAATGTTTTCGATCCGACATCGATTGCTTTCTCCCTTTGATGATGATATGTCTTGACTTCGAAAGAGGGATCGCCTCCTTTGCCCTACTCACCCACACTCTCGCCTTAAAATGATGACACTTTATATCTGACCGGTATATGAAAGACGTCATTTGCTCCCTTTTGGGGCTACACGTTTTCGAACCATGATTTCAACCTACTGTGTTGTTAGCATTTAAAAGGTAACTTAATTTGCAAAATTAATAACAAATACAACCAGTCATGCCTCTTCATCTATATCCAGTATCCATTTATTTTTTAAGATATTACGGACAATATTTGCAACTCAATTCTTTCGTAAGGGTAAATAATATTGCAAGATTAAATCACAACGTTTCATAATTTCACAAATGAAATTTCGTTTCAGTGTATACCTTTTTTTCTACAAACATGACGTGGTTTGAGGCCAGGGCGACCTGTGCCAGCAACAGTCAGCAACTCGTTGTTCTCCGGACAACAGAAGAGGCCCTGAGGCTCCACAGACTATTTGGATCTTACAGGTCTGTATCATACACGACTCGTGAAGATCCGGGTTAGAATAGATCTTCAGTAACCCATGCTTGTCGTAAGAAGCAACTAACGGGATCGGGTGGTCAGGCTCGCTGACTTGGTTGACACATGTCATCGTATCCAAGTTGCGTAGATTGATGCTCATGCTGTTGATCACTGTTGGTCGATTATATATAGCTGGAATATTGCTGAGTACGGCGTAAAACAAAACTCACTTAATGTACCACACACTGCTGATTAGCCCCGTAAGCCCCGCATCTTATGAGCAGTATCGGTTGTTGAAGATTAGTTCTAACCCGTATCTTCACGATTGCTCTTCTAAGAGAGTGAACTGTTCATGCCGGATATGAAATATGCCAATATGGCACATGCACAAACAACTCGATAAGAATCTATCTATTCTCTTTCTGTTTTCTTTCATACGATATCTTTCATGACAACAATACGTATGTTTTGATTCATAACATTTGCTACTATTATTGATAAGTTAATATTTTTTCTTCTGTAGTATGTCTTTCTGGATTGGTTTAAATGGAGCTTCATCGAGTGGGTTTACTTGGGTCGATGGTTCAATAAAAACCTGGGATCACTTCCAGCCCGGGTACCCAACTGTCGGCACAGAGACGGTGTGTGTGGCAGCTATCCCTAACTATAACACCACGTGGATCACCACCAACTGCCAACACAAGCGATCCTTTGTGTGCCAGAAGCCGGACGGTAAGGAATAATGTTGTATAGTAACAACAGTTACCACCATAACATATATACTGTACACCCTTTGTGTGCCAGAAGCCGGACAGTAAGTAATAATGTGGTATAGTAACAACAGTTACCAACATAACACATGTACTGTACACCCTTTGTGTGTCAGAAGCCGGACGGTAAGTAATAATGTGGTATAGTAACAACAGTTACCAACATAACACATGTACTGTACACCCTTTGTGTGTCAGAAGCCGGACGGTAAGTAATAATGTGGTATAGTAAGAACAGTTACCAACATAACACATGTACTGTACACCCTTTGTGTGCCAGAAGCCGGACAGTAAGTAATAATGTGGTATAGTAACAACAGTTACCACCATAACACTTGTTCTGTACACCCTTTGTGTGTCAGAAGCCGGACGGTAAGTAATAATGTGGTATAGTAACAACAGTTACCACCATAACACATGTACTGTACACCCTTTGTGTGTCAGAAGCCGGACGGTAAGTAATAATGTTGTATGGTAACAACAGTTACCACCATAACACATGTACTGTACACCTTTGTGTGCCGGACGGTAAGAAGCCGGACGGTAAGTAATAATACACCTTTTGTGTGTCAGAAGTATAATAATGTTGTATAACAACAGTTACCAACATAACACATGTACTGTACACCATAACCTTTACTGTACACCCTTTGTGTCAGAAGCCGGACGGTAAGTAATAATGTGGTATAGTAACAACAGTTACCACCATAACACATGTACTGTACACCCTTTGTGTGTCAGAAGCCGGACGGTAAGTAATAATGTGGTATAGTAACAACAGTTACCAACATAACACATGTACTGTACACGTTAAGTAATAATGTGGTATAGTAACAACAGTAACCATCATTACACATGTACTGTAGACCCTTTGTGCGTCAGAAGCCAGACGGTAAGTAATAATGTGGTATAGTAACAACGTTTATCAACATAACACATATATACTGTACACCCTTTGTGTGTCAGAAGCCGGACGGAAAGTAATAATGTGGTATAGTACCAACGGTTATCAACATAACACATGTACTGTACACCCTGTGTGTGTCAGAGCTCTACGGTAAGTAATAACGTTGTATAGTAACAACAGTTACCACCATTACACATGTACTGTACACCCTTTGTGGTATCCAGAGCTGGACGGTAAGTAATCATGTGGTATAGTAACAACAGTTACCAACGCGAAAACGTAAATCAAATAAAGTGAAATTAGAAGTGCGAATCCTCATTATTTTACCTTGCCAATTAAACATTTAAATTTCAGAATTGTATTCAACTTAGGATAAAAGTTGTTTAACAGACGATCATAGATTCAAATCGCTATTATTGGTTTGTATTTCAAGGGGGTATGCACATTAAATGAAACACCGAGAACAAGTAGGGTTGGTCTAAGTTAACGCTCATCACGTACTGCACGTGCATTTGTATCACTGTTCCAATTACTGCGTTTACTCCCTTGTAATACAAACCAATATGAAATGAAATTTAAATGTTTAATTGGCAAGGTAAAATTATGAGGATTCGCAATCTTAATTTCACTTTATTTGATTTACTTTCTTGTTTAAAGTGAAATTCATCGGTACGTTTTCACTGCAAACAGACTATAACAACAAAAGAAACGCAAGTTAAGAAAAAGTTGATCGTTTGTGGAATGCGCAAAACAGCACAAGTCACCTACATCATATGGAAAGCAGCTGCCGAAATCACAGATGAACATATCTAGATAGTTGGTACCAAAATCGAATCTGCTTTTTGAACAAGGGACCTTACAAACCAATATCGTGATTGTACAATATCAACTCTCGTCGAAAACGTTCACATTGTCAATAAGGCCGGGAACTTTGATTACGAAAAGCAATGAATCATGCCTTTTCATGGTATATCGGTGTTATTGATAATAACTATAGCAGTATAGAATGCTGGACACAATAAGTAGCATACTTGTGTAGTGCTTGGTAGTCAAGTAGGAAATATTTTTGCTATTGTTTGCTGAAATTGTTGTGATGTTTGCTGACGGTGTTTCAAGTGTTCATGTAAAACCGATATTTTATGTAAATATAGTAAGAAATTGTGTTTTCATGTAAGTATAGACAATCAAGTAATGGTAATCAAAAATAGTGTTTAAACTGTCAGAGCCTTAATGGTGAACAGGTCGATGTATGTGTCTTGTCATAAGTATTTAGGTGTATTCATTTTGTGTGTGTGTTTGTGTGTGTGTGTGTGTGTGTGTGTGTGTGTGTTTGTGTGTGTTTGTGTGTGTGTGTGTGTGTGTGTGTGTGTGTGTGTGTGTGCGTGTGTGTGTGCGTGTGTGTGTAAAAGTTGTGCAAAAGTCCGTTAACAGCAAATCAGGCCATAGAGGCACTTACCTTGGTAAAGCAATTTGTGAACCGTTTTCGGGAATACTATTCAGACTGCCTTCAATATCTTTGTTTGCAAAATACAGTCAATAGTTAAATATGGGTGACAATTAGAAAATCAGTTGAGAAAATTCACATTTGTTTCTTTACATTCTTGCAAAATATTAATGTAGCGTCTCAAACTATGAATCACATGATGGATGTAGTTGAAAGCCCATGTATATCTACATTATTGCTAGGGGCGGTGGGGTAGCCTAGTGGTTAAAGCATTCGCTCGTCACGCCGAAGACCGATTCCCCACATGGGTACAATGTGTGAAGACGATTTCAGGTGTCCCCCGCCATTATATTGCTGGAATATTGCTAAAAGCAGAGTAAAACCATACTGACTCACTCACTCCTACCAAACACCACAAACCCACGAATACATGTTTGTGCATACAATGTACTTATGAGCACTTTACTGTCAGTATAAGGACACACAGACAAGCCGTAATTTTGTAGCTCATTTAAATTCACAGTTGGTAGTAAACAGGATAACAAAAGAATTTCATACGAAGCTTATTGCCCTGGGCCTGGATTTTCGAAGCTCTCTTAGCGCTAATATAGTCGTAAGTGCCATACATTAACATTAACTTACGACTATCTTAGCGCTAACCGAGTTTCGAAAATATAGGCCCTGGTGTCGTAAGGTTTGACAGGTAAAAATGTATCCTTCGATGACATACCTTGTAACCTTGTAGCTAATTTGACTGCCTGTAATCCCATGAGTTGCAAACAATATTATATTCCTTTCTATTAGTGTAAATAACAAGGGCCCCGTTCCACAAAGCGATTGTAGCGCTAAGATGATCGTAACTCCCATACTTTAACATAGACTTACGATAGTCGTAGCGCTATGATCGCTTTGAGGAACGGGGCCCAGATTCTTATGCTATTAAGTGGTAGTTTGTCATGTGAAGTTTAATATCCTGTTTTTCAGGTATATATTTTGGAGAAGCCACTGTTGTGCAACCAGTTCAAGGTAAGTTCCAATCGTCATCTGGCAACATAAAGCTATTTCTATCATGTGTTTGTCACTTAACAACTCTATTTTCATTTCAAACTCACATCAGTTACTGTTTCACTTATGCATTTCCGGTTGATATTTTGACAGTTAGAAATGCCATCAGTTCCAAATAGTTCAATCCATGTACAATATAGGGAATGTTTCTGTTACAAAAACAGGGGAGATAATTTATGTATTCGTTCAGGTTTTCGTTGGTCAAGTTAGTCAGTTGGAGGCCCGTCCACTGCCGGCCTGCTGGGCTCAAACATCGTGATATGTATATTTTATTCACATTAAGTTAACCCATACTTACTCCTTCTTATCTTCCAGGTTTGAATGTATCGAATCTGCAGAGCACTTCCAGTCCGTCTGTGGAGAGTACGTCGGCAGACCCTGGGGAATCTAGTGTGTTATCTCAGTCAGTGTTAGAAGTGTCCTCCTTAATAGAGGACACTGTTGTTATCTCATCGGAGTCCATGCTCGTTACAGTGGAAAGTTCTCTTGCGGTAACAGAATCTGTGTTTGTGACAGACGGAACTTCAATTCTACCAACTGAATCTGTGTTTCTAACAGACCAACCTTCGCCTTTACCAACTGAATCTGTTCTTGGGACAGAAGAGCATTCAATTCTACCAACAGAATCCGTGTTTGTGACAGAAGACTCTTCACCTGTACCAACTGAATCTGTGTTTCTTACAGACGAACCATCACCAGCATCTCAATCTCCCGTGTTTTCAACAGAATCGTCTTCATTTACAGAAGGCATTGCCAGTATTCCAAGTATAATCTCTACCTCGTCCGTATTTCAAGAATCGTCACATATTGGAACTGCCGCTGTGCCTCTGTCAACAGCACATATGTCACATCCGACGTCCACTGGCAAGGAACTCCCCCTGGAAACATCAAGTCCTATTGTAACATATAGCACTTATCTCGGAACAGACGTGTTGGGTGATTTATCTCCAACAGTCACTGATCATTCTGTGTTCTCCTTCCCACTTGAGTCTACACAAGACACAGCAGCGGCCAATTCTTACCTTGAGAACACTTTATATGACAGTGCCACATCGGGATATATTTTACAACCTTCTGAAACCGCAACGTCGTCACCTTCAACGTCTCCTACAGCTTCTCAGCAGGGAACAATGGCAACGACAGGTGTGAAACTATGTCCGTGCCAGTGTAAGCTGGTCATGAATGACAAAGAGACAAGCAGGATTATCCAAGAAATCAAAGAGGAACTCCATTTGGAGTCGGAACAACTTTCAAAACAGATTAGAAAAAGGACGAGTGCCCCAGATGAACGTCCCAGTTCTCAAGGCATCGGTTACGTGGCCATAACGTTCCTGTCTTTCGTGGGCATCTTACTGCTCCTCGCTGATTCGGCTACCTTATCTTTACACATACACATGCTGATAGCTAATTTGTGCAAGAAATGAAAACGCAAACTTTATTTGAAAAAGAAAGAAAAGTTCGACAAAACTAAATAGAAGTGAAAATACTAAAACAACAAAAGCTTGGGATGGTCTTTATAACCTATTTAAATATCTTGATATCCGTATTTGTTGTGTATATACAATGTATAACCAATATATGACCAGTCTGTTGTTGTTCACTAACTGTCGACAATACACCATTCTGAAAATATTTGCTCAACATGGTAGATATACAACCCGTCAATCGAGGGACAGATGCTCTCAGTGTATACCCCATGTCTCCTTAAGTGCAAATTAGTGTCTCTGGAAGCTCTCTTACAATCTCTCTAATTATTCAAATGACACGGGTCCTCACTATTGTCATTCGTAAAAATATATCAGCCAGAAAATGAGGATCAATTCTAAGAAATGCTGTAACACCCGGTGTTTTCAAATACTCAGCCCATAGTGCACGCATTACATTATTCACTACTATATATTATAACTACATTATCATGGTTTCTCTTAACTATCATGGAACATATTCATAAATGGACAAAATCATGTCCGTGTTCATAAGAAATTCCTGCTAAAACCATAGTCGATTGGTACAGTCACGTACAGTCACGTACAGTCACTGCAGTAATAACGTGCTCATTTGTTTCAAATATGCGGACTCGGAGATTTTAAGGGTGGTGGTGGCGGTGTGTGTGTGTGTGTGTGTGTGTGTGTGTGTGTGTGTGTGTGTGTGTGTGTGTGTGTGTGTGTGTGTGTGCGTCACCCATTTTGTTCTGGGGAGGTAAGGGGGTGTCATCAATTTTGTACATAGAAATCTTTTTAATATAAGCTAAAAAATAACGGGGTGGGGTGGTGGGAGGGCATTGATTTTGTACGTGACATACAGGGGGGTCACTTACTTTGTACATAAATGTGTACATGGTTCTCCATAAAAATCATATCTCTTTCCCCTCCACCCATCCATAAATTATGAACTGAAACTACGCAGTTCATCTGCATCATTTATGGTCGCACCCTTCTGTAAATAATCTATCATAATTATGCCCTCTGAGTCCCAGAAAACGGAGGCCTTGACCTTGCCACTGGAGGAAGTTCTTTTGAACTTTTTCGGCGTCGGTGAGGTCACGTGCATCTACTGCATACTTTGACATTTTGGCTCAGGGACTAAATGATGAACCCAGGTTTCATCCTGCGTTACCAGATGAGCCAAAGTAGCATGGAGACCTGGCCGATAGCCATCAAGATGTTCTTGACTAACCATGATTCTGGGTACCCAACGAGCTGACACCTTCGTCATGTGCAAATGTTGATGAATAATTCACTCTCTACTGACGTTTTACTATGTGCAGTAGATAAATGTCTAATAGTCAAATGCCTCTCCTGCATTATTGTGTCAAGAACAACATAGACTTTATCTTCGGTGGTGACTTCACAGGGGCACCCAGACCATGGTTCGCTTTCAGCACTTTGTCTACCCCTTGTGAAATCAACACAACACTGTTTTACTGTACTATATGAAAGGGAAGTATCACTTTGCTTCATGTTTGTGTCATGTCTTCATGAATTTGATTCAGAGTATACTTTCTACTACAAATACATAATGTTATACAAAGATATTTGATCACAGTTCTGCATTCTGTTTTGTCAATTTTAGCAGCTGTTTAGAGGAAACGGGAGGATAGTGAAGCTTGACAGGAATATATAGGCAGTTCTAGTTTGTGAAATTCATGCTATTCATGTTATCATCATGCTTTAGTACTCTTACGGTGCTTTAGGGTGTCCTCTCACTAAGCCAGATTCTGTCAAAACAGGTCCCTCACATAGCCAGTGTGGGATTTGGCTGACTAGTGTTATTGTTTTGATAACACTTAGTCCAGATGAGCCATAGTCTGTTTCAACAAAATGCTCAATTGGTGAGATTAGTGACATTTGTATATAAGTGAGATCGCATCTCTCACCTAGCCATAGTGCAATGTTGTCTTAACAAGACCTTTTTGGTTAGACTCTGGCTAAGTGAGAGTGAACCGTTCTATATGCACAAGCAGCTTTGTTGTGTGTGTGAGATCCTATCATGGTCGGGCCAGAAACGTCTGGAACACCCTTCGTAACGAAACATCAAATTAAACGTTTTGGTCAAATTACCTTGTTTTGATTTTGCCAATCAAATCGGAAATCCTGTCTCATGTGAATAAGAAACAGATCCACAAAGAGGGAAACACATATTGTGCTTGACTAACATCTGGTCTCTGGAATGAAGATAGTTTAAAGAAAACAAAACAGTTCATAAATGCTAATAATAAATTATAATGAAAAGGAGCCCATAGACTTTCTTCATTTTCAAAACTGTGGAATTGCCACATATTCTAGACTTGTATCGGCTTTCTTGGATACATTTGTTTCAGGATCTGTATGACAGACTATTTTTGGGCCCATAGCGATGCCTATTCCTTGTCCAAATGTTTTACGTCGAAGTTTTATGTAGATGTCATCCATGTAGACGTCCTGCATTGCACAAAATACTCATTACGTGATGTATAAATAATTACATTTTCAAAACACTAAAATGACTCGTGCCACCAAAGTTTGATGTCAAATCGTATCAATATAATTTGTAACTTGTGCTAAATAGTGTTGCAAAACATGTTTATAAATAGCGTACAAATGTAACCTGCTCCCTGTGATATAAACGTATATATAGTGTATTTATGAAGAAAATAATAAGTTGTATTATTTTGTGATTTCAAAACATGTATGCAGGGTTTCACAGCGCACAAATATTCACTACGCTTGTGCGATATCAAAACACGTATATTACGTTTTATTGCGCACAAATATTTCCTACTTGAGTATGATATCAAAACGTGTATTACGTTTTATAGCTTAACCTTGTGCGAAATGAAAACATGCACATCACCTTTTCTAGATGAAAAGCATTCATTCCGCTTGTGCGATATCCTGAAGACGTGCTTGTATTACCATTCTATATTGTACAGTCACCGACATATACATCCTCATGAAAATGAAACGTTAAGTGGATTTTTGCAGCAGATGTTCAGAATAGTGACTGATGGGGGCAATGGGAAATCTAGGTCAGAGTGTTGGTAACCGGGGAAACATGCTTGTCGTAAGAAGTGATTTAATGCATCGGAAGATCAGTCGGTGTTTGCATATAGATAGAAGCGACAAAACCCTTTCCATATTCACAAAAAAAATCTCTGCTGAAAGTAGAGTCGATTGTACAATTGTGACTATATATGACATATGATATGACATGACATATATAGGATATATGACATGACATGTATATGATATATGACCGGACATATATATGAGACGTGAAATGACATGGCATGTCATATATATGGGATATGAAATGACATATATACGAGATATGACATGACATAATAATCATTTTCTACTGTCTGTCTGTGTTTCTAATTCTCAGTTTAAAATAAGTATATACCATTCAAATATATTTTTTTCATTGTTTCCAAGATGGTTCTATGCACTGACTTTAAGAAACATGTCCATGTATTTATGTCATGTACAACTGTACAACATGCCTGTAATATTAGTCTGTAATACAACATTGCATGTATATTGTACTATAGGACTATGGCCTCTACCGGAAATAAAATTGGCTTTCAAACATCCCAAACTCTCTTTGATATATTAGATATAGTTAGAAATTGGGTCACCTGTTCCTAAATCCAAAGCATCAAATCCGTAATCAGTTGATGCGTTTTCCATTAAAACATAAAGCCATAAAACATTTTCATTATCATAAGACTGACTGACTGAATTTGGTTTTACGCCGCTTTTAGCAATATTCCAGCAACATCACGGCGGGGGACACCAGAAATTGGCTTCACAAATTGTACCCATGTGGGGATTCGAACCCGGGTCTTCGGCGTGACGAGCCAACGCTTTAACCACTGGGCTACCCCACCGCCCCTCATTATCATAAGAAATCACTACTAAATTTCCATTTTACGTTTCGACTCTACCATAAGCATGACTCACTATCAAATAGTGATGATGCTGGAAGGAAAGTGTATCGTTACCTACCGGTTACAACATCATGCTCAGGCAGGGCAAGCGTTTAGCGTGACAGAATGTACAAGTCGAAATGGGATAACTGTATCCAGCAATATTAAGGTGAACGGATGCATCTGTTTTGTAAGTGGTCTGGTTAACTGAATAGACACACAATAATCGATGGACTGATGCATCATCGGGTAGAATGTAGACTTGGAATGTCTGAATAATCCAGTCCAGTGATTGATCAACCGACCATTCAAACCTTTGGCGTACACGGAACAAGGATTTAAACATGGTCATTAGAACTGGCACTGTGTGTTATCAACTGGCACTGTGTTATCAACTGGCACTGTGTGTATTCTCATCTTATTTGTCATGACCTTGAAAACACACGGACAAGCTTAGTTTGACAAAAAAGTTTATTTCGTTCGATATATACAGACTTGTCGAGGTAAAAGTAAGAATACATTTAGGAGATAAACATCATGTGTTGATTGGACACCCGGAAATTGGCCAACACATGATGCTTATCGACATTGTAAACACAAAAGTAAACCAAAAGGCCCACATGGGTTTTACTGTCTGCACTCATTGACATCGAGTACGGGTAAAGCAGTGAAGTGTTATCAGCTGGCCGTTTCAACTGGTTCCCATGGTAGCATCTGGAACTGCTCATTTGTGACGTCATTCCGACTTTACGTCACGATATGATTTGAATGACGTCACCACTGTTAACGACGCAACAATACAGTTGTGTGCGATATTTGTACGTGTCAATACGCAGTGAATAGTCTTGCAATTTCCGGGAATCGAATACCATTCGATCATGTTTTTCAACGAATCAGATTAAAGAACATTGTGACTTTTGGTTTACAATTGGAAATTCACATTAAACTCTGTTCCCTCGACAACAATAACAAAATATATAGTTTCAAGTAGCCATGCAGTGCTCCCAGTGATATTTCCAACGGACTGGATTATCTGGTTTGACGTACATGTACATGGAGTTTCACTTGTACTTTCTAATAATTGAGTATAAAGGTAACAAAAGCACAAAGCACTTGAATATTATATTTAAGCTTTGGTTCACCTATCATTCACACATTCATAGCGTTTAGATCCGGTTACGGGAAACAATACACACGCTTCCTTGCTGGATGTTTGAACCAAAGGTAGGAGGAAGGTATTAGTACCTTCAGTTTAGATGATGTCATTGGGTGTTTTGGAAGATACTTTCTGACTTCTTTAGGAATATAACCATAGTCCCATGATTCTAGCTCAGTATATAACCAAAGTAATAGTATTCCACGGTTGGATCACGTCACTTGTTTCTCACAACATTTCAATGTTTCTTCAAAGACGTTTAATTATAGTATCTCTTTTTGTAACACTTAGTGTTTCCCCAAGGCATTTTTAGCAGGGTGCAGCACCCTGCCCTCTTTATTTGGCGCCCTGCCCTTTTTATAGAAGATATAGAAGTTTAGGAAAATGATTGCACGCCTTTGGTGTTGATGTAAAGGCCGTCAATTTGATGGCGCTTATTATTGCATAGAACTATATCTTTTTAATATCGATTTCTTAAACTAGTGTTTAACATACCAAACCTGAAAGAGCAATTAAACATAGATGATTCAGAACACAATGACAACTTTCAATGTTTTCTATGTGAACCACTGACAAACAAATGACCCGAGTAAATATACAGTAATGCCATTTACATAGATAATGACTTTGTATTTTGACTCCTATATAAAGCAACAAAATGCTGACTTATAAAGCAACAAAATGCTGACTTGTTAAATGTGCATGATATGCTGTACCCAGATCAAAAAGAAATAAAGTGATAAATATATACAGTAATTAACAAGCATTTTAAGCAAGAGTAACATGTTATATCTGGGCCAAATTATGCCTTTAATAACGAAACAATTCCTAATTATCTGCCCTTGAAAACAAATGTTGCGAAGCAAGATGTATTTATTTCCTCATTACACTGACAACTTGCTTGTAACATGTAATTATCTACGAACAATGATCAGAATTGATCCGAACTGTATCAAGGAGCTACGATCAACTGTCGATTATCTGCTACCAACTGTTGATTATCTGCACCAAATGATTTGTTATTTGGTATGAATTGGCAAAGGATTGATTATCTGGGATAGAGAACCCCACCGCCCCTTTGCAAAAGTGGCTTCACACAAGTAAGTGCAACGTTTCGATTTATATCACGGAGTTCAGAGTTCCTTTTTAGATCGGTTTGTGTTAAAAATAATTAAGTGACCGAAATCTATTATTTTCCCTAAATGAAATTTCGCGCAATTTTGATGTCAGTGCCTAATATGATAAACTCAGTGGCTAATATGGCAAATATCCAGAACCTGGATACTGGTTGATGGCCATGCATAATTTAACTTCGGTGGAACTGGATGGCTGATAAAACAAAGGCACAATCTGTTGAACAAGTTTAACGGTAACACTCGGTAAGTAATACGTGATTAACGAATTATATATCAAATATTGTGTTAATTGGTCCCAACTTTGAATATATTGCACAATAATGAAAAGACATATATATATAAATGATTTGTTACATTGTATGAATTGGCAAAGGAATGACATATATATATATATATATATATATATATATATATATGAAATCGAACCTATACTGGCCACATAAAGAAACTGTGCACACAGAAAATATAAAGATAGGCAGACAGCGTCTTTATACATAAATATAGGTGTGAACATAGCAAGTATTGGAGACAATCAAACGCTCATGCAGGTGCCAGGCGACGTGACGTCATTGATGGTGGCCTATGGACTTGCAATGTGTTACTGCACGTGCAGCCTGTGCAGCTGCACACAACATGTGAAACTTCAGAAATTGCTCACATGCACATCATGCCAAGATTAACATCTGCTCAACGTCATGAAGCCATTGGAATGGTTCGAGCAGGCATGAGCCAACAACAGGTGGCAGCACATTTCCAGTGCCATCGTAACACGATATCTGCATTGGTCCAGCGTTAGGGAAACAGTAATGACGTCGCCGACCACCCACCCGAGTAACGACGCCAAGACAGGACAGATGGATTCGGGTGACTCATCTCAGACACAGGTTCCAGACGGCAGTGACCACGTCCGAAACCATTCCCCAGGCCTTCATTTGGAAAATTTGGTAGCCTCTATGCGTCGTCGATGCACTGCTGTGCTTCACGCGCATGATGGTCATACCCGTTACTGACTTTGTGACTTCGACGTGTGACCCCCGACTCAATTTTGAACTTCTGACGTCATCGTTACGGATATTGTTCATGTTCTTTTGACATGTTGTTGAGGCCCGATACTTAAGCTTATAAAGATTCTACATCAGGTCGTCTTTTCTGTGTTGTATTCCAATTCTGAAGGAATTTTCTGTGTGCACAGTTTCTTTATGTGGCTAGTATATATACATCTATTCACTCTTGTTGAATCCATCGTCGGTAATGTGCTTTGGTACGTTATATTTCAAAAAAAAAATGATACTAAAACTACATGTACGCTTTGGAATATGAGACTATCTATAATGAGGCTGACTGAAACAAGTAGAACTTTCAAGTAAATATAATTCTCGGAGTGATTCTGAAAGAACACTGTTGTACTTTTAATTTCCCCTAATGTCTACTTTTTAAATATAACTGGTTTCGAAAGAACAATCTTGTCAGCACAATTACATGTTTGGATGTCATTGTTTCAAGGATGGAAAGTAACCAGGTAATCAGGATATGCCTGTGTATCATTGAACACAACATACATCGCAGGATTGTTGATATCGTTCACGACTGAGTCGAACAGCACCGTACTTCCTGCCTTAGAGGGTGGAACTCTCATGTCTCCTGTCCCCTTGGTATATTCGCCAGTCAACACTCGAACCAGGTACATATATTTTTGCCCTTGTGGATCTGGTCTCGAGTATGTATTCTGGGCAGAATATTCCGCATTAACGGCAAAATACACTCCTTGGCCGTAGACTGTGGCTGAAAATGGAAACAATTGTCATCTAGAGGTAAACATATATAAGCATAAATTGTTTCATTAATGAAATATGCACAGTCCTTTTGATACTGAAATAATGAAATATAACATATTTATTAGTTTTTATCTTTTGGTCACATAGAAGATTATCTTTTGTGTGTTTTTCGTCATGGTCACTTCTCAGACTTTCAGGAATATAGTAGATTTGAATGAAAAGATGCAGATGCACATATCCACTGTCAGTATCAGTGTGTATTAGGGCTGGGACGGCTCCAAATTTTCTACCGGGGTACTCCACTCCATATTACCCTACCCTACACTGATACCCCTTATGTTAATTCCTAACATAAAATTTGTACGAAATGGCAATATATTCTTCAGCTCGAGGGCTAAAATTGGGTGCAACGTTTTATGAGATATCGTGTTTACATAGGTTTGAAAAGTGGGCAGTGTCATGGTGACCTTGCAGATAAGGTCAAAGTCACTCAGATCGACTGGTGTCTGCATAATCCCCCAATGTAGACTGTCACCAAATTTGAAGACATTGGGTACAACATTGCATGAGATATCGTGTTAACAAGAATCGGGACGTATGGACGTTGCGGCGGGGGGACAAAAAAGAGGGAAGGATTGTTTTTGTCAAATGTGATCATATATTCCCTGCAATAATGCAATGTTAATCTAAATAATTATCGGTAAGATACATGTGAACATACCTTGAGGGAAAAGTAGTTTGGGAAAGATATCAGCTCATCGGCATAGAAGGAGCTTCAGCAACAACTGTTTTAGCACGGGTAACGTTAATAGGGTAATAATATGAATAGCACTAGGTGTGAAAATGAGATTAAATGACACATACCATTTTTGCCACAGTAGCTTCTGTTGAACCCATGTGCATTGATGCTGTCTATGGCATCAGTGCTGGTACCGTGCCAGAGCCAACTCTCATTCTGGGTACCTTGGGGGTTCTGTTTCTCCAGTTGTTTCTTCTTGGCTGTGTATTGCTGATACAGCGATCTGTTCTGAATGCGATCCACCTGTAATATATATGCAATGCACGACGGCGCTTTCCAGTAACAAAAGCGGTGATAGTCAACTTTGATCACAAACCACTTCAGTCGTTGTAAATGGAACCTCAAAACCCTTTCCACATCCGTAAGAAATCTCTGTCGATTGGACAGTTGTGAAAAATACATATTGCACAATTATATATCACGAGTATATATTTGTTTCAGTAGTATTGCAATTGTACAATATTGCTTGTGAACAAATCAAGTCTGGACCAGACAATCCAGTGATTGTGCTTATGAATCACTATGATATAGTGATGGTACCTGGTGTTCTGTAAGAAACTCCTTCAGTTCACTACAGACCGTGAAGATTCAGTTAGAATTGATCTTCAGTAACCCATGCTTGTCGTAAGAGACCCTAACGGGACCGTTTATCAGGCTCGCTGACTTGGTTGACACATGTCATCGTATCCCAACTGCGTAGATCGATGCTCATGTTGTTGATCACTGGATTGTCTGGTCCTATTTACAGACCGTCGCCATATAGCCGGAATATTGGTGAGTGCGGCGTGAAACTAGACTTACTCACTCACTCAGGTTCCTACATGGATGTCGACTGTGTGCAAGTAGAATTTCAGTGTCGGTAAGCGAGCGACCATTTATTATTTCGATAAATATTTTGGCTCATAATTTTCATTCTGCGTGATGGAGACACTGGTCAGTCTCTCACGTGAACGACTGTGCACGTGGGCTTTAGAGAGATTGTTGTGTCATACCTTGAGAACCGTGGCATTGCTGTTATTGACAGTTTTCATGAACAGTTCAGCAACCATCTTAAACTCTTCAGCTGCGACTGGAAAACTCTGAACATTATCATCGTCTGCCATTGGCTGCCAATTCTGTGGTGGGTCAAATATTGACTGTTTAGCCTCTGGAAAGTAAAACGTACAGGATTTCAGTAATAAATAATAATAATAATAATAATAATAATAATAGCATGCTTGTAATGCGCTATTTTCCATGTACAACATGCTCAAAGAGCAAGACATAGATGCACATACAAACAGACTATAGGAGAGAATAAAAGATTAGAGATACATGGGGACAATGCAATGAAATTATCATTTGCATTCATAAGCTAATCTGAAAAAGTGAGTCTTTAGTAAGGATATAAAATTAGAAAGTTCTGTACAGTGACGTAGATATTGAGGTAGTTGATTCCAGGTTGTAGAGGCTGCATACGAAAAGGACCTTTCACCATATCTAGAAGTCCTAACAGTCTGGATAACGAGGAAACGTACATCCTGTGAACGGAGAGAGCGACATGGGCGGGGGAGGGACTGGGCCAGATACGGAGGGGCAGATCCAAACAGACAGTATAAAGTGAGGCACAGAAGCTTGAATTGAATCCTATAGTGAATGGGCAGACAGTGTAAAGAATGTAGATTCTGAAGTTTCAGAGCATCATCCGATTTACGTGACTGGGTCACTATGCGTGCAGCAGCGTTTTGCACAGGCTTAGTGGCACCAGCGAGAAGAGTACGAAATCTACACAAATATGACTGTGTATATATTCCTCACACTTAAGCATAGGGTGAAGTGAGGTGACTGGACAAACGCATCGAGAACATATGTCAAACTGTCAACTAACGCATTATATTTGATTGAATCAACAACACATCCGTCGGGCACGTGATTCCTTATTTACCCGTGTGCTTCATGTGTACAAGTTGGGCTTCATCGTTAGGACAGGTATGACTGTATCCGCTGAAATATATGCCTAAATAAGGCTTGCAATGTGTTGTGTGTTATATGTTATGTACTGTGTTTCAAACACAAATTTACAAATAATTCCCGAAGCTCGATTGTTTCTCTCCAATACTTTGTCTTAGTTAATTCTGACACCTTCCGTGTGTACAAGAGGAACAGGGGAACAGCGCTCCATAAACGTACGCGCGGTGGGGTAGCCTTGTGGTTAAAGCCTCCGCTCGTCACGTCGAAGACCCGGGTTCAAATCCCAAGATGGGTACAATGTGTGAAGCCCATTTCTGGTGTCCCCCGCCATGATATTGCGGGAATATTGCTAAAAGCGGCGACAACTCACTCACTAAACTCACTCAATAAAGTGAATGTTATGTTACTAAAATAGCAGCATAAGATTTGGTCATTTGTGTGATCAATGTGTAATCATATCAAATTCAGCGACAAAATCAATACTTGATGACATAATTTGTACACATTTCAAGGATTGAAAGTATCATCGACGTAAATGAGGAAATGGTTTTAGGCTATGTCACTAATACGCACGAAACAGTGATGTTGAAGTAAAAATCGGTGCTAGATGTTGAGCCGAATGTTGTGATCATTCAACCGTTTTTACGGTTCTGCCAAAAATTGATCGCATTGTAGGAGCTATTTTGGGATCGATTCCAAAGATGCACAAACCGAATATAGTTGTCTTCTTGACCTGGCGTCACATGTAAATGACTGAACAAATCCTTTGTGTTACCCTGCTGCAGAGAACGTCACCAAGAAGATAACACTAAAATGGCATCGTGATCGTGTTTGCAGCAAACCCTTTCAGCAGGTTCGGGCATGGCGTAAGAGTAAAATTGTTTTATTGAAAACCCGATAGCAACACAATTATAGTATGCTGTTCACTTTAAAATGTATGTAAGTATCATTCCAACGTTAACATCCAAAATGTACATCGCCTATTAACATGTACTTGCAAATTGTGAATCACGTCTTTGAGGTCCATGAGAAGTTTTCACAAATGTATACTGAAATAGTAGCGACAAAACCCTTTCCACATCCATAAGAAATCTTTGCTAAAAGACGAGTCGACTGTGCAGTTGCGACTGTATTATGAGTATACATTCGAAAGAAGCCTTGTTTAGAATCACTTTCAGAATATAATCTCTTATTTTTTAACTTTATATGAAGTACAGTTACCTTTCTACCTTAGCATAATGCAGCTGAATCTCAGTTATTGTTACATGAGAAAGTACTGACTTCTTACCCTGCATGAGGTCTCGGCGGATGATGTTATACGTTTTCTTCTTTTCTTTTCCTTCCATAGACGAAAAGTCGATGTCGATTGTAGTCTTCTGGACCTTGACCTTGCACGACTTCTTGTTGGCCCTGTAGGCTTTTTCAATTTCTGCATTTTCCTTCGTATCGAAGTCCTTCATATTGACAGTTTTGTCCTTCTCGAAATAAGCCCACTGTATTGTTTGGGAGAGCAGGCTTGCCCTCTCCGTCTCACTCTCTTCCTTCTCAATGTTACGTAAGGATTCAATGACTTTAATATAGGCTTGATCAACCATACTTCCCTGACCTGTCAGTTGAATAACTCCTTTGTTTCTGTCGAGTTTTAATTCCACATCGAATTTTTGGTGCAAGCTCTGAATCTGGAATATAGTTCCTGTCTTATGAGATTTTCAGGGTGCTTAAAGCATATTTAAAATTTGAGTGAGTGAGTGACTTTAGTTTTACGCCGCACTCAGCAATATTCCAGCTATATGGCGGCGGTCTGTAAATAATCGAGTCTAGACCAGACAACCCAGTGATCAACAACACGAGCATCGATCTACGCAATTGGGAACCGATGGCATGTGTCAACCAAGTCAGCGAGCCTGACCACCCGATCCCGTTAGTCGCTCTAAAATTTGAGGATTCAGTGTTAGTCTTATATTGCAAACAAAAATTTATCATCATTTCCAAAGCATCTGAAAATTGATCTTAGATTGAATATGAATATTGATCTTAAACATCTAATCACATCAAACAGAAATCGACCATAAAGGTGTGAAGAAAACGTTAATACAGGCTTGTACACAAATACAGATATGAGGAAGTCTTTTTGCAGAAATTCATTTGCAAATAGAAGCGATAAAACCCTATATCAAATACTGATGCTACCACGTTTTCGCCAAAAGGTATATATTTGCTGGAATATTTCTAAAATCAGCGTAAAACCAAACGCACTTACTCACTCATTATTGTCTTATTGCCATATCTTTTTTGTCTTATTGTCTCACTACAGTCAGACAGTCAAAACTTCTAATGCCAATACTTGTTCCAAACTCAAATAATGGTTACTGTAAAGAAAAAGTCCTAACCTGCTGATCTGTCAGTTTTGGTATTACTTGGTCATCCAATTTCTTAGTGCGCCATTCTTTCTGGCATCGTGCTTCCAGTTTCTTGATACCATCGGCAATGGTGTCTGAGTGGTCAGAGAAGAAGTACAGTTCCACGCTCCCTGGTGCAGTGGTGCCTAATGTAATGTAAAAGGAATAAAATCAACCCCTGAAAAGGGGTTACGGCAGTTACCTTAAGTATGATCCTTACACATGAATGCTATGAAGACACTTCATATGAATTCCTTTGGCCAGTAAATGTACTCATTTAAGAAGAAATTGTGGTCTTAAATATTGGTATACAAATGATAATGACGATAGGGATTGTTTTTAAACTAGGTACTCAGTTTCATGTCAATTAAGGGTAGGTTGATGACAATGTGCCACAAAGACAAAAAGAATTTTTGCAACAAAAATTCCATAATCATAAAAAACTCTTTTAAATGTAGAATCCTTCTTACTGTCTGTCGCGGCACATCCCTAAAAGGGGGGCTCATGGAACATAAGCAAAATAGAGGGTTCAGCAACCCGTGGGCACCGCAGTGAACAACGTATTTAACTTACCGAACACCTCAATGTTTCATAATAAGGATCATAATAAGGAGTACCAGAGTTAGGCAGTTACCCAATACCGACGACAGACATGAAAAACAAATTTAGAGTTATCTCCCTTCCAAAGATTTGCTTTGGCCAAACATCAGTTATTTACTCAATAATTCGAGATAAAGAATTACTAACACAAGAACCAAATGAATTGCCCAACGGGTAACATAGGAAATATTACTCGCTTATAAGCGGGGTACACTGAAAATAATAGAAGAGCCCTCAGCCAATCAGAAAAAGACATTTATGTGTGAGGTAAGATTAACGTATATAACACTGTTTTTGTGGAGACGAAGTCTGGCAGAATTTGAATGTGAAATTGAAAGTTGTTGAGGTATAGAATAATAATATTCAAACTAAATTACATTTGGGCTCTCTCTCTCTGCTTATTAAAACACATCATACACGATCACTGGGCCCTACTGTACATACCCCTTATAATAGTAGAAGTTGCCTTTGGGATTGCTCTTGTGCCTGCCGAAAGTTTCACCGCTGCAGCAAATGGTTTTAACTGTGCTTGCTGGAACACAACTACTCGAACATCGCAGATGCTTACAGCTCGAGATCCGAACTCGGCAAATGCTTGAGACATTATCACGGCAATATCCTCAGCCCCTAAGTTACGGATCCCTGTTGAGAAAACTTTGTTTTATAAACATAAAGTGGTATATAGACATAATGAACAAATATACTAGGAACATTCGTACTGTATTCAATCTCCATTTCAGCTTCTCATATTATTAATATGTTTTACAGATTAAAGTAAACATGTGCATCAAAGATGGTTCAGGCGATCCTGGGATAGCCAGGCTGGTTAGGCCAATCATCAGCTCTTGCTTCTTCTAAGGTAGCTCTGCCTACTCTTTTCAGAGAATTGAAGACTCTCCAAAATTGAAACCCTCTGCATAAACGAGAGTGTCAGAAGGACTGTAAACCCGGACACTCTCCGTAGCTATCTCAGTCAAAATGATTGACCATTGCCGCTTTTGTTCATCAAATCAAGCAATGTGACCACCACATACTGTTTGTCTTCTTTTATCGATTTACAACAGGAACAAAATATGTATTCTGATCAAAAGAGTGATGAAACATTACCAAATGAAATCTAAAAATCCACTTTACCTGTTCCCAGCAAAGGGAATGCGATCGACTGGGCACCAGGAAGTTTTTCCGCCTCTCCTAGACAACTGAGGACCACTTTCTTCCAGTCATTGCCAAAATGGTCGCCCGCTACATGGATCACGTATTTACACTTCAGACCTTTCGCTGTCGTGCTGACAACGCCGTGCTGCCTCATGTCTTCAACTGTTACATATCAAACGTAAAATGATTAATAATGTGCATGTAGACATTTATTTTATGCTACGAAAGAAACAGTTTACTTGAAGACCTTGGTAGTACCAACCCACAACGTGCACTTTGAAAGGACTAGTAACCTTGATTTGGGATCAGATTACCCAGACTCTGATTGCTTTGGGAATGTCCCAGTGGAATTGGAACTGAATACAAGGTTTCGTCTCGAGGTCCTATCAGTGAGTGAGTGAGTGGGTGAGTGAGTTTAGGTTTATGCCACTTTCAGCAATATTCCAGCAATATCACGATGGGGACACCAGAAATGGGCTTCACATATTGTACCCATGTTGGGATTTGAACCCGGGTATTCCGCGTGACGAGCAAAGGTTTTAACCACAAGGCCACCATACCGCCCCTAGAATTAACAACTAAGACAAAGTATTGGAGAGAGACAAATTCAATTTTCAATGCCTTGAAGAATCGAGCTGCGGGAGTTATTTGTATATTTGTGTTTGAAACCTTCCTGAAATGTCATTTTGAAACACCCGTTATCCATGTTTACAGTTTTCACCAATGTGTTGCATTTTGCATCCAGTGGAATTTGTTTCAGAGAATGTACTCAAAACTGCCTATACGCCCATTTGACGTTATATATTTAGGATTTAATACTCTGGGTATAGCATTTGCATTAAACACGTTAAAGGCATTGGTACTCATCTCACCTTTCTTTGCACACTGCGACTCCATATCTTTCCCACATGCTTTTCTAATAGCACCTGAGACTGCACCTTAAGGAAATATAATACACAACACACGTAAACCATAGCAGCACCATGCAGGACATTTAAGTAGCCATTTGAATTTATAGCAGCACAATGCAGGACAATTAAGTACCCACTTGAATTTATAGCAGCACAATAGCATGAGAGCACATTAGCAGATCAAATAAGTAGCCACTTGAATTTATAGCAGCACAATAGCAGATCAAATAAGTAGCCACTTGCATTTATAGCAGCACAATAGCAGATCAAATAAGTAGCCACTTGCATTTATAGCAGCACAATAGCAGATCAAATAAGTAGCCACTTGCATTTATAGCAGCACAATAGCAGATCAAATAAGTAGCCACTTGCATTTATAGCAGCACAATAGCAGATCAAATAAGTAGCCACTTGCATTTATAGCAGCACAATAGCAGATCAAATAAGTAGCCACTTGCATTTATAGCAGCACAATAGCAGATCAAATAAGTAGCCACTTGCATTTATAGCAGCACAATAGCAGATCAAATAAGTAGCCATAAGTAGCCACTTGCATTTATAGCAGCACAATAGCAGATCAAATAAGTAGCCACTTGCATTTATAGCAGCACAATAGCAGATCAAATAAGTAGCCACTTGAATTTGTAACAGCACAAGAACAGGACAATTAAGTAGCCACTTGAATTTATAGCAGCACAATTATAAGAGCAAAATGCAGGGGGCATTTCAGTGATCAACAGCATGAGCACCAATCTACGCAGTTGGGATACGATGTCTGAACTAAGTCAAGGAGTGTGACCGGCAGGTCCCCCCTTACGACAAGCATGGGTTACTGAAGACCAATTCTAACCCAGGTCTTCACGGGTAGAATATAATGCAACAGTATTATGTAACTACTCTATTGCACTGTCAAATGGTTTCACTGACATGTATCGTACCTTTGTTTAGGTCCAGTTCGCTGTTGGTGCTGTTCACGATGCAGTCCGTATCTTCCTTTGTAATGTCTCCCTGTTTGATTGTCACGGTGATATTTCCGAACTGTACACCACTAGAATCAGTGACGGCCCCTGGGGATCCTCGGAAACCTGACTAACTCCTGAAACAAAACCAAACATGATGAGGATCCGAGCGAGTTAGACATAATACTGTGTAAAAAAGCACTTCGTTTGCATCAAGGAGTTTGAACAATTTCCGAAGTAACCCAGGTGTTAGAGACTGACCAGTTTGGTGACACCCACGACGAAGTGACAGGGCATCTGGCAACACGGGTATCTTGCACCCATAAGGCAGCTAGTTACACCTTACAATGCCGAGGCAACCGTTCACGATATGACCTCGAACGTTACAGGAAAGTTCAAAGGATGAAACTCATGAAACATTGACCAACATTCCGAAAATATTTCTTACCTATTTTAGATGTTCTTCTAGAGGTCCCTTGATTCATTGAGTTTACCGATTTCTGTATCTCTGATGAAACTGTGAGAAACATTGGCTGCTGGAACACAACTACCTGTATATCTGCCAGGTTGGAGGCTTCAGGCTCGAACTCAGCAAACGCCTGAACCATGATCTTGGATATTTCCTGTGGGTTTACGTGACCTGCACCTGATGACAGTGAAAATATTATAAAAAGATTGGATCAAAAAAATACTAACACGTATATTTTCAATCCCATGAACTCAAAATTCACCTTATGTCACAACTGGAAAAAATGTAAACCTTGTATCTACCTGTTCCAAGGACCGGAAAAGCAACCGATTGCGCATCGCCTAATTTGTCTGCCTCTCTCAAGCATATCAGGACCACCTTCTTCCAGTCATTGCCAAAATGGTCGCCCGCTACATGGAGCACGTATTTACACTTCAGACCTTTCGCTGTCGTGCTGACAACGCCGTTCTGTCGCATGGCTTCAACTATAAAAGTAATTCAGTAATCGTTGAATTATCAGGTTTTCATCAACAAAGGCACGTTTCAAACAGAAAAGGACACACCGTGTCAGCTTCGACTCTGCAACATGATGTTTCCCTTCCACAATAACCGATTATTTGTGCAAGAGATTCGAAACCATAGTACATCATTCTTTACACCTTTATGGTTGAACATAGCCCACATGGACTACCTACTTGAACCGCAGCTGATGACACCTGTATGTACAGCTGAGTACCTACATTGTTCATGGAGAATTGGAGGTACCGCAGCTGATGACACCTGTATGTACAGCTGAGTACCTACATTGTTCATGGAGAATTGGAGGTACCGCAGCTGATGACACCTGTATGTACAGCTGAGTACCTACATTGTTCATGGAGAATTGGAGGTACCGCAGCTGATGACACCTGTATGTACAGCTGAGTACCTACATTGTTCATGGAGAATTGGAGGTACCGCAGCTGATGACACCTGTATGTACAGCTGAGTACCTACATTATTCATGGAGAATTGGAGGTACCGCAGCTGATGACACCTGAGTACCTGTTATTCATGGAGAATACAGCTGAGTACATACATTACATTCATGGAGAATTGGAGGTACCGCAGCTGATGACACCTGTATGTACAGCTGAGTACCTACATTATTCATGGAGAATTGGAGGTACCGCAGCTGATGACACCTGTATGTACAGCTGAGTACCTACATTATTCATGGAGAATTGGAGGTACCGCAGCTGATGACACCTGTATGTACAGCTGAGTACCTACATTGTTCATGGAGAATTGGAGGTACCGCAGCTGATGACACCTGTATGTACAGCTGAGTACCTACATTATTCATGGAGAATTGGAGGTACCGCAGCTGATGACACCTGTATGTACAGCTGAGTACCTACATTATTCATGGAGAATTGGAGGTACCGCAGCTGATGACACCTGTATGTACAGCTGAGTACCTACATTATTCATGGAGAATTGGAGGTACCGCAGCTGATGACACCTGTATGTACAGCTGAGTACCTACATTATTCATGGAGAATTGGAGGTACCGCAGCTGATGACACCTGTATGTACAGCTGAGTACCTACATTATTCATGGAGAATTGGAGGTACCGCAGCTGATGACACTTTTTAATTTAATATTGTAATCTAAATACGTAACTTTTTAAAATATATTATATAGTAGTTTCCCTGAGTGCTGATAGTTAGTTTATTTATTTTCAGAGAAGTGTGGTGTGATATAGTGCCTTGAAAGATAACTATATGGTAAGTCTGATACATGTGAAATGTTTTGTACAAAGCATCAGACATCTGCTTTAATGCTTAATAAACAAGTACTGCATGGGGGATTCTTGATATTACCAATACACTGAATTCACTATACTGTCCTACACGGTATTCCCCAAACAAACACATGTTCTCACGTTTCATTTTGCACTGTGACGTCATGTCTTTTCCGCATGCTGTGGCGATAGCTTTTGACACAGCACCTGAAACAAAAAGGTCGAAATATCGAAGTATCGAAATTAGCAAATAAGCTCAATATCCTTCGATTTTGTGTGTTAACGCTGCACAATATGAACTCGTTAAAAAGGAAATATCTCAGCCTTCGGGACAAATAGTCATAAAAAAATAAGACTTAATTATGAATAAAATTAGACATCTTATACTCACGATTGATTTGGGAACACATGAGACATCCATAATCATGAATAATGTCAACTAAAAGTCAATTGTACGATTCCTACCATATCTCTATACGTTGGTTAGATTATACCTATGCTTAATATTCCTGATATTAAGATCCATGCTTGTCGTAAGAGGCGAGTAACGGGATAGGGTGGTTAAACATCCCAATTGCGTAGATTGATGCTCATGCTGTTGATCACTGGATTGTCTGGTCCAGACTCTGTTATTTACAGACCGCCGCCATATAGCTGGGATATTGCTGAGTGCGGCGTTAAACAACAAACAAACCTGATACTAAGATTCTAAAATTGATTGTCCAATTTGTTTGTATTTGTACTTTTAATGCATGGCTAATTTGCTAAACAATTGCCAACACCTGAAGGTATGATGTAAATCAAGCTTGGGTCCATGCATGTAGCAAACGTAATGTAGGTCCCTATGGTCAAGCTTGGGTCCATGCATGTAGCAAACGTAATGTAAGTCCCTATGGTCAAGCTTGGGTCCATGCATGTAACAAACGTAATGTAAGTCCCTATGGTCAAGCTTGGGTCCATGCATGTAGCAAACGTAATGTAAGTCCCTATGGTCAAGCTTGGGTCCATGCATGTAACAAACGTAATGTAAGTCCCTATGGTCAAGCTTGGGTCCATGCATGTAGCAAACGTAATGTAAGTCCCTATGGTCAAGCTTGGGTCCATGCATGCATGCAAAAACGTAATGTAAGTCCCTATGGTCAAGCTTGGGTCCATGCATGTAACAAACGTAATGTAAGTCCCTATGGTCAAGCTTGGGTCCATGCATGCAAAACAAACGTAATGTAAGTCCCTATGGTCAAGCTTGGGTCCATGCATGTAGCAAACGTAATGTAAGTCCCTATGGTCAAGCTTGGGTCCATGCATGTAACAAACGTAATGTAAGTCCCTATGGTCAAGCTTGGGTCCATGCATGTAGCAAACGTAATGTAAGTCCCTATGGTCAAGCTTGGGTCCATGCATGCAGCAAACGTAATGTAAGTCCCTATGGTCAAGCTTGGGTCCATGCATGCAGCAAACGTAATGTAAGACCCTATGGTCTGCAGTGTGGTTCTCTACTTTCAGTTGCTGGCGATCTACAACCCGTTTTCATATTGTATTGTTATCTTTAATGGTATAGTTTTATGATAACATGCTTCTTTTAACTAAATACATGTTATAGTCTAGTAGTTTTACTGTCCGTCGACGATAGGTTTTCATGCTCTTAATTTATTGATTTTTAATATCTAAATTGTTCTCGTCACGATATGGCTGAAATGTTGCCGATGTGACTGTGATATTAACTCACGCACTCACTCAGTCGTTTTACCTCTGTTCAAATCCAACTCAGGGTTCGTGCTGTTGATGATACAGTCAGCGTCCTCCTTAGTTATGTCCCCTTGTTTGATTTGAATGCCCAGTCGTCCAATATGAAGGCCATCATGTTTCACTTGTGATATCCATGAATCTACAATACAAGTTGAAATAAGTTCAAACATAACTGAATAATTTAATGAAATGAGAGATGGTAGCCATGGAAACAATACTTTTCGAAAAGTGGAAAAGTGTTTACATATGTATATGGCTTTAAATAAACGACATAAAAAGACAATTAATTATAAGGAAGGCCGATCAATAGGTGGGAATCCGCCTCTAAAATAAGGAAAATAGCAACATTAACATTAACCACAGAAATTACGAGGAGTGGGATTGCTTATAATTACACCAAAATGTATTGGAAGTAGCAATAGAAACAACAGACTCAATCCACTTTCATAAGAACTAACCGGAGAGTCGATTGTAAAGTTTTGCCCATATCATGAGTATGTGTTTGGATGTGACTACATGTATGTATGTGAAGACTTCATGGCAGACCTTTACTGTGTACTTTTGCATGCAAAATTTGCTTGTCTGTACTGCACTGTTCGATGGTACAGAAAAGAGTGTCATCCAAGCAAAGTGCCTAACAAAGGCTCAGTATTACAAGGAAAGGCTCTCTGAGAGACCACTGCATGGAGTTTAAATGCAGTTTCTTGGTGAGAATAGCAGCCAAGAAGAGTGCTTCACTTCGGATGGCCTAAAAAGTGAAACCGAAGGCTTTCTGTTTGCTTCACAGGACCTTCAATGTATGCTATTGCATCAAATTTAAACATGAAATGTAGATTTTACAAAGCACTTAACAGGACTCCAACACCTTACTTGCGGATGCCTTAAAAGCGTGGGTCGATCATTTTAATACTGTCTTCGCCATGCTAATGGGTTTTACTCAGGGTTCATCCATAGAGTTGAGGGCGTCATGGAAAGTGATATTTGAGCAATTCTTTGGAATAGCTCCCAGCATGAGATGTTTTCAGACCCTGGCCTTGTCCTTTTTGATAAATCCAATGAAATCATGTACATCCTTGAGTTTTATGTACCTGTTGATACACATGTGACTGATTGACAAGATTCAGGAAAATATGCGGACCTTGCATTAATCTCAAGAACCAAGCTGCCTTACTGCTGACTGACTATGGGGGACTACCCGGGTGTGGCGCCAACAACGCAGCCCTTTTGGCACGCTGGGTAATGCAGAAGGCGGCGGTGTCTTTTCACTTTCCGAAAAGTTCTTGATGTGTGTGACTAAGTCCCAATCGCTTCCCTGTCTCTGTGTAATGGAGGCAAAGGCCCTGAGCTGACGATGTTTGACTGTGCCAGGATCAATCGAGCCCTCTTTGCTACACTTATTAATTATTATCTGTTTAATAAAAAACAGGCATGTTTCACCGACATACCAAGAGTTGAAGACGAGTGTTTCAGTCACCCCAGAACAAAAACAACTAAGCATACCTTCAACGCTCTCTTCTTCCAGGAAGGAGCGGCTCTCATATGCCACAACTGGCGGGTCAGTTATCTCCCCTGTCTGCAAGCGTCTTTCATACTCTTCAAAGGCCTTCATGGCGGATCGGAAAATAAAACACATAGATTGCTTTTCAATAATACAAAAGAAAACGTTCAAAATCATAAAGTGGTATTTCGAAAACCTCCATCGAGTGTCTCAAGATAACAATTTCTGTGGCAGATTGTGTTCTTAATCCCAAATCAGTCTTAAAGTGAGTCCGTGAGGTGAATAAATGAGTAAAAGTTTATGCCACTTTCAGAAATATTCCAGCAACATCAGGGCCGGGGACCCCAGAAATGGGATTCAGGGAATGGAACACGTGTCTTCGGCGTGACGAACGAATGCTTTAACCACTGGGCTAGCCATCACTTCATGAACACATAATGGCAAGAAAAGACCTGTCATGGCATCCGATTCCAGCGTTGTGGTAGACAACAGTACACAGGTCTCTGTTCTTAAGAAGAACCACAACTTCTGTTGCAAAATTCTGGTTTCAGAGCTGCTAAGGAAATGGATCGCCTTTCGTCATCAACAGCTGTTTGCAAACATTTGGAAATATATACTATATCTTCTATAAGTCTGTTGTGAATGGTGGGTGATGTATTCAGTTTGAGATAAAATTATAACCGTCTCAACAATGTTCCATGATTGGGCGATGAGTCTTGCAAGGAACACCAAAGGAACACTTCTGTTTTGACGAACAAGAGACTTTTGAAGAACACTCCCATAATGCAGCATATAAAATGTCGCATACATTATTTTTTAACAAACACTCAACTAATAATGTACAAACATGTCATAATGTTGATGATGTAATACTTTGTTTCATTTTACCTGGATGACTTTTTTGTCTGTGGGATAAATGACTACTAGAACTTCTTTCAGTGACGTGTTCTTCTTCTGAAAGTTATTGACAGCTGTGTACATGGTTTGAGCCACGAAGTTTGCAGCATAGCCCAGGTTCCCAGCGCCTAGTGCTGGAAAGGCAATCATTCGGCATCCCTCGTCAGCAGCTGTTTGCAAACACTTCATGATAATATTCTGTAGTACCTGCGAAGGGACAAATACGTCTGTATTTTAATAACCTATGTCTTTTTCCTGCCCATGACAGATAAAAAGTGACACCATGCAAAATGAATCTGTCAATGACATTATATTTAAACAGACTTTATAGCTATATCTTACTCTGTCATCGCCTACCATTTCACTTTCATTGCCTTGCAGTTTACTTCATTATCTAAGTATCATTTGCAGGAAGTTAGTAAACATTGCTATGTATTACATTTAAATGTCAACAGAAACATGCGTTGCAATCAACATTGATGTTACAAACAATTTTGACTGAAAACTAACAGTTAAACACACACACACACACACACACACACACACACACACACACACACACACACACACACACACACACACACACACACACACACAACACACACACAACCCACAAAAAACAAAAACAAATTTCATTCCATTGTCAAATAAATGACTTCTTTGAGTGGCATGTTTAGAAGTTGGTGAATCAGATAAGGACAAACTATATGGATGAACAACATTTTATTCTGATGATGCGACGTTTCGATACAGATTCTTGTATCGTTGTCTAGCAAGTAAGTCAGTTCTAATAAATGGACAAAAATAGATTTTTTCAAGGTGGCAATGAAGTCGATCATATTGAAAATCAAACCTCTTGCACAAATTTGGATTTCTGTTTAAACTAAAGTGGTTTCCGACACGATGTTTACGACCGACCATGCACAGAACTGGGACAAACACAGGTAATATCTGTTCAATAAACTTTCAGTCAGGTGAGCTAAAACAACCGAGTTTTTGTTCCAAAGACCGATTTCAGAGGTAAAAATGAACTAACGTCAGAACCAGAGGCACTTGCTGGAGACAGACAGACATGGTATACACGACACCCCAGGTTTCCTCCAGAGCTGACAGCAACATCTCCTGTCTGTATTCCTTGGGGATACTTCGCCAACAGTTCTTGCTGTATTGTGTTCCCTGCAGCTTTGAGGATCGACTTGGACACAGCTCCGTTGCTAAGATCAAGGCTGTTGTTCGCTGAGTTTACGACAACATCAACCTATTGTAATCAAGAATACACTGTACAGATGCGTCAGGATTATCTAGTGTTTCAATGATTAGATCACATCTTGGCTGGATCACAATTACAACACAAGGGGGTAGTGGTTCGTAGTCACGCCGAAGACCAGTGTTCGATTCCTTCACATGGGTACAATGTGTGAACCCCATTTCTGGTGTCCTCCGCCGTGATATTGCTGGAATATTGCTAAAAGCGGCGTAAAACTATGCTGACTAACCCATTCACTGCAACAAAAGAGTATGACCTTTTATACCCTTTTTGAAATCTTACTGTAGATGTAAACATGAGTGCCTATATTATACCTTATTATTGTTCGTCACTTCATCATGTGACAACACCGTATTTCAGATGTAGCTGTACAACAGAACGACAACAGACTGACCATTACAATGCACAGCTGAGCACTTCTTACTTTTTGTTTCGCAATTTCGCCTTTGACAATGGTCACTTTGCAGCGTGAAGATGTGTTTGACCCTTGAGTTGGTAATACACCTTGAAAGAGAAGGAAACACATTCTTGTATTAATGACGAAAACAGGGAACATATTGTTTACATGAGGGTAGCATCCACAAGCAGATATTAAGACTATTAAGAGTGAGTGCCGCAAACCCCAGGTCCACCTGTGGGCTCATTCCCTTTGTTGATAACTGATAAACAGAAAGAGTACTAATCCAAACTAATGCTGGTGTTATGTCCATTGTCCACTAGCCAGCTAAGATACTTAGCCATAATTCAACATGGACATCCAATTCAGAGAAATAATAATTCCAATCCGGACGCTCAACCTCGGACGCCAGGCAGGGAGACAACAAGTACCATCTTAAAATATCTTTTGGTATGACTTCCAAAACATCGAGCAAATTCCACTTTCCAACGAGGTCATGGACAGTTGGATCTCGTGTTACGCCTTATATCTAAAAGATATAGAAGAATCGTAAAAAATACTTACGGACACCGCCAGCGACCGGTTTCGGTTTTTTAGCTAAGGGTGGGCGCATGTCAGGTCTATTGGTGCTCTCTGTCAGGGTCACTCGTCGGTCACTGTACACTTCCTGTAGAGCCACAGTGAACAGCTTGGTGGTTCCCTCATTAGTGTCGATCATATAGACATTGGTCACGTCACTGTTTGGACTCTCTAGAGTGAAGAATTTCTTAATGGCCTCAACAATGTGCCTGAAATGAGACATGACACTTTGCATGTAGAAAAATTAATGTGGATACATCAGATAATTTATAAGTAGATGCATGGTTCTGCAGTAACGTTAACACAGCATATATACTCATGCCAACAAGGGTTGTCACCCCCTTCAATCTTTTTTATTGGAGAGGGGGTGGGGGTTGTGCGGGGGGTTCAACGTTCCCAGCTAGTCCTATAGTTGGGTATGGTTTGGTTGTTGTTTAACGCCGCACTCAGCAATATTCCAGCTATATGGCGGCGGTCTGTAAATAATCAAATCTAGACCAGACATTCCAATGATCAACAGCACGATCATCGATCAACGCATTTGGGATACGATGACATGTGTCAACCAAGTCAGGGAACCTGACCATTCGATCCTGTTAGTCGCTCTTACGACAAGCATGGGTTGCTGAAGACCAATTCTAACCCGGACCTTCACGGGTCGTCTCATGAGACGGCAGTGTACATTTGTCTTCTCAGACATTAAGTGTCATGCACACATAATACATGGATATGAATTGATACTTCAGTCACCTTACAACTGTGTAGTTATTCAAATCGGCGTAAAAACCGAACTCTCAACATGTGTTGAAAGAGTTTTCTCAATTTCAATTAACTGGACAGGCCCTTGTGACACAGTTTCAGTTGTAACCATGTATGATATACATTATAAATACATAACTTTCATTGACACTGATTCTCATCCTTGATCTTACCTTGTTGCAAGTTTCACTGGGTATCCAAATATTCCAGCACTAAGAGCAGGTAATGCAATGGATTTGTATCCATTTCTGTCTGTTTGCTCCAAGCTCAACATGATGGCATCTTTCAGGTCACCCTCCTCCCCCCGATGACCACCAGACCAGCACGGACCAACGGCATGGGCAACCATTTTACAAGGGAGACGTCCAGAACCAGTCGTTACGACATCCCCAGCTCTCAAAGTCTTGTTCTTAGCTGTATAGGCGTCACTCTCCTTCTGGATTGTCGGTCCTCCTGATGACAAGAAGATTTGTGTAACTCTACGTAAAGGTGATCGAATCCTCACAGATGATTGATTGCCTTGTATTGTTATCATTGTTATATATACTAATAGTGATGAATATTTGTACCAGTTTGACATGATTAATTCAAATATCTTTGTTATGAGGTGAAGTGAAATTGGGTTTTACGTCGTGCTTGAGAATATTTCGCTCATATGACGACATGCATGCGTGTGTATGTGTATGCGCGGCTGCTTGTACTAGCCCAGACTTAAGCTGGTTTTATAGTGCTAGCCCACTGAGATACCATGCCGCAGTGAAGCATGAATACCCCACTCAGACACATTATACTGACTCCGAGCCGACCAGTCCTTGTTGTACCCATTAATGCCGAGCGCCAGGCAGGGACCAGCAAGTAGCATATTTTAACGTCTTTTGGTATGACGCGGTCGGGGATCGAACCCGCGACCTTCCGCTCTCCGGGGGGACGCTCTAACCACTACACCACGGAGGGGGTCCTTTGTTATGTATACTGAGGGGAAAACATAAGGGATCAGATGAATGCACAAGTGTTCCTTTATGTTTTCCAGGTTTCTTCCCAAGTTGTGCGATACAAAGCTTGTGAAGAAACCCAGGAATAAAATAAAGGAACACTTGTGCTTTCATGTGATCCCCTATTTTGTTCCTTCAGTATATACTGACAGAATCAAAACAAAATTACTTGACTTAATCATGTTATACTGGTATAAAGATTTATCACAAAAACATTAAATAATAACAATGTACATACCCTTATTTGCTATGGCTTTTGCCAGTCCTCCGATGTGATCTAACCTGTTGTTAGCGGCATTGACAATGACGTCCACCTCCATAGCTGTGATGTCACCTATGACAACATGAATCCTTCTGTTGGAGTCTATGTCACAGGTCGCAAGTACTCTTGTCCCGCTTCTTCCATGTGGTACAGAAGTAACTGAGGCAGGCATTGAACCGATCGTTTCGACTCTAACTTTGACAGATTCATCGAATGAAAGTTCTATGATACATCGAGTATCCTTCTCTGTTGATCCAATAACACTCTTCCCGTCCTCAGAATTGATGAACTTACTGATTCCAGGTTTCTTAAGAGTGTATTTCTTATGGATGACTTTCTTCGCAAGACTCATCAAACCCTGCACAGCTTTGGTAAGAACCTCCTGGCACCCACTTACTGTTATCTGTGGTGCAGTCGACTTGTCCAGTTTTCCATTATGTTTTGCCAGATCATGGCTAATCTCCATCAGCTCACGATCTCCATTCGCGAGGAGGAATCTGTAGACTGGACCAGGCAGTTTCACTATCTGCCTGTACACCGAGTTTTGTTGGATAAAGTTGTTCAGCTCCTCTCTGATCTTATCAATTGTGTTGTCAAATGCTACAACTACAACTTGAGAGGCTTGTCGGTCAGTATAAAGGCTTACCAAACTGTCATATCTTTCCAATGTTGCTTTCTCGAAGGCAGCCAACTTATCAGAAGATAGAAGGAAGGCATTTTCTCTATCAATTTTCTCATGATGCTCTACAATCATATCTTTCAGCTTTCGTCCTAGAAAAGCAGCATTTTCTTCTGTCGTTGCCATGACAATTACAGTTTTGGTTTTACTGTCAATGTCCCATACTCCAGTGATCTTCATGTCTCTCAGTTTGTTCATAACCATATCTTTTACGTCTCTTTTATCTAGAAACGAAACCAATCTTTGGGAAAGTGTAAGTCTTTGTGAATTGTAACTTGCAATTCTCTCATACATTGAAACTTTACAGTCGTTGATTTCGTTCACTTGACCTTTGAAAATCATCTCGGTTTGTTCAGCATTGACAGTCACTTTGAGATCTGTGGAATAACGCTTCTTCATATCAGCTACATACCCATCCATTACAAGGAGTTGGAGCTGAAGTGGTTTCAAATTTGTAATCCGTTCAGTAACCTCCTTCTGCTTCCTTTGGAATTCGTTCTCCACACCTTGTATAGTTTTCTTCACTTTCGTACCGACTTTTTGTACGTCTGTAGAATGACCGACCACTATCACCTTATGGTCTTCATCACATAGATCCATGAGAACAGATTTTGCCTCGGGCATTTTGCTCAAGTCCTTCCTCACATCCTCCCAGATCTGGTCAAGGGTTGTATATTCCTCAGTTTGAAAGCGATCAACAAAAGCCCTCAGAAACTTCTCTGTATCTTGGCGCCAAGACTGTGCCAGCTTAACAGCATCTTTGGCATCCTTGTTAAGCGTGCATGTCATCGTTGCTGAGTAGTCCGACAACCAGGTGATGTCAGCATGCCGCTCTTTCAGGCTCTGTTTCAGCTTGTCCTTGTCCGTCCTGGATGATTGCAGAAACCTACATTTGGGTTTGTCGAGATTTTCTACAGTGAATGGTTGTGGCTGTTTGTACCAAGATCCATCGGTATCCTCAATGCCCAGTCCAAGACGTTCGACGTAGAGCTGCACAGTCAATTTTGCCCCATCTACCGTGTGTTGTTTAGGAAGGATTTTATCTATGGCTGAAACCAGAAAACGCATTATGTATATATCTGCTTATATTGATACCACAGTACAAGTTAACTGCGACACAAATTTGATGACACAACAGACACCCTTCCCCTCTCTCTCTCACTTTCTCTGTACAGAGTTGCCTCCCTTGGGCAAGTTCGGAACCTATGAATACTTCAGGCTTTCCTCCCACATTGAGCAGACTTGCCGTGCTATAACTGAGTACCGCTAAGAGCGGCGACTAGGTTGGTCCAGTCAGCTAAAGTTGAGAAGTTCTTAATCAAGCTAGTTACAATTGTACTAGCATGTATGGTTGTTCAGACAATGCGTAAAGTCCATTTCTGGTGTCCCCCACCTTGATATTGCTGGAATATTTCTAAAAGCGGCGTAAAACTAAACTCACTCACTCTAACGGCAACACCGTTGCTTTACAAGGTGCGTCCTTGGTGACCGCAACGGAATACTGATTATTATCCATATGGTGGAACACAAGTCATGTCATCCTTTCAATACGTGCATAGATGCACATATCACTTTTGCCTAGCAACCATTGTTTCTGTATTTCGTCGTCTTTGACGTCATTAAACAATTGAACGTGACTTCAGTTAACAGGGCAATCACACTTGCTGACCGTGTTTTAATGCACAAATGTACATGAATAAAATAGATAATAAAGAAATTATTACGCTCGCACATGTGACATACGACTTATACGAAACTCGTGCAAAATTATGTATTCAAAATTTCACACTCGTTTCGTATAAGTAGTATGACACACTTGCTCGTGTAATAATCTCTATTTATGTTTCTGTATTTCTCAACACTGTAACTTGGTCGTGGATGGGACACCTGCGTTACTTCGCGCTTCCCACGCCACACAAGCTGACATAACTGAACACGATTCAAAGTTGTTGCATTGCACATTCACTCCACCGTCGGGAAGATGAAGTGTAAATTACCTTTATAATCCTCAAACTTGACAATACAATAGCCTTCATCCTTGTGTGTGGAAACTGTAACTGGGATTCCATCAGTGTTACCAGATTTTTTATTTTCAAAGTAAAACTGTAGAGTCTCTCCAGTCGACTCTTTCTTCAATCCCCTTACAATCACACTGTCACTAATTGGTACTTTTTTCAACCTGGAGGTGTTGTCCATCAAGCGGCCTCTTGCCGCACTGAAGTTGTAATTTTTCAAAGTCTGAAAAATGAGAGATAAGGAAGCTGTCATTGTTAAGATCGAACAAACATTGACACATGTGGGCAAAATAACAAATGATATCGAAAATTATTTTTGTCACGTAAGCGTCAAATTAGGAAATATCCGCTGTCACTGGGTCGTTGAACAAGATTCAAGTGACGGTTGCTCATTCCCGCTCATCTAACCACTTCGCTACAAGATTTAGTGTTATCACTCACCAGGGATGTTGTCATCTTCAAATGTTACCAATGCATTCCCAGGGACGTCTCCATACAGTACTTCAGTTACGTTTCCACGTGCCCGTGCTTCCAGAAACAACATTAAGTTGTCCTTGGAGGTTGTGTTGCTTATGTTGGTCACAAGAAACCTATTCTTGTAACAAGGTGTTGGGCGATGTAACTTCACTGTCAGATTTGCGCCATCCACAACGTGTTTCCTCTCCAGGACATTTTGGACAACTGAATATATAAATTGAAAATATGTTAAACAAGAAGGTACAATTGTTTTACCAAATGAATATGCTGCTAATTGCCCTGTTTATTCCTGCTAACAATGTTATATTTTGCAACACACAATTTGTGACGTTACCTCTCATGTTTATATTACAGAACTGTTACATATATTTAAGTGTTATTTAGAAGCTGGAATGATGAAGAGGAGCGATTTTTATGGATATACATCTTCTTTATTGCAATTGATTCGGGGTAGAGGGTATCACCGTTATCAAGCAAGTGACGATGTGACGTAATAAATATAAATAAAAATGGTTCCTATTTATAACATACATTGTTTGAACAATATATACCAATCAATATGTATGTGTTTATACTCTTATTTGATCGTCTAGTCTGCCTGGGAATGGAATGTAGGTTGTTCGACCTACAGCGTTACACCCCAAAACGTTCAAAGATGGAACTGGTTATTACCCTGTCGGACACCTAGCATTACGGAGTGAGTAAGTTGGGTTTTACGCCGTTTTTAGCAATATTCCAGCAATATCACAGCGGGGTACACCAGAAATGGGTTTCACACAATGTGCCCATGTGGGGAATCGAACCCCAGTCTTCAGCGTGACGAGCGAACGCCTTAACCACTAGGCTTCCCACCGCCTCCAGTATTACGGAGATGTTACTATATCAACAACGTTGAACACACCCTGAAGAACATTTCACCTTTGCAACCTAAAATCGTAAATTTCCAAAGACATGTGGGGCGGTGGGGTAGCCTAGTGGTTAAAGCGTTCGCTCGTCACGTCGAAGGCCCGGGTTCAATTCCCCACATGGGTACAAAGTGTGAAGCCCATTTCTGGTGTCCCCCGCCGTGATATTGCTGGAATATTGCTAAAAGCGTCCTAAAACTCAACTCACTCACTCACTTACTCAAGACATCTATTATATCACAATAAATAGGAATACATTTTACCCTCAGGTGACTCAAACGTAATGAAGATGACATCATCCTTCTTCTCAGAGTTTGTCACAGGTCCACCTCCACTTCTTTTAGTGTTTTCAAAGTAATATTCAAGAGTGTCCCGGCTTGTATTGGGTTTGAATCCCCGAACTTCAATAGTGCTCTGTTCTTGAATGTCGTCATCTTCTCCAGATTCATCATCATCATCAGCAGCACCGGAGTGTTCTATGTAAGCCAGAACTTCCACACTGTGCTTGTTAATCAGGTGGGGCTTCTTGTTGAGGACACGGTCTGCAACTAAAGAAAATGACAGTTACAGGTTATGAACGTGATGCAAAATGTTAACGATTCACAGTCTATATTGGACAGCTGGTTTCAGTTCCTTGACTGTGGGAAGATATGATGATCTTTAAGAAAATGTAAAGTTAATCGAAAGGCAATCATTTTACTAGGGGTAAATGTTAATTATAACAAGCAGAACACCAGTGGGTGTTAGTGGGATGTTTTAGTTTCATGGCAAATATATCGGAAGATGGTTAATTTTGAGAACTCGAACATTAAGAAGATATTACGTGAACATATCTTTTTAAACCACCAGATTAATATCATCCTTTGATTTGGGTGCAAGATTATCTATGATAGAATGTAATAGGACAAGAGTGAGTAAGTGAGTATGGTTTTACGTCACTTTTAGCAATATTCCAGCAACATCACGGCGGGGACACCAGAAATGGGCTTCACACATTTTACCCATGTGGGGAATCGAACCCGGGTCTTCGGCGTGACGAGCAAACGCTTTAACCATTAGGCTACCCCACCACCCCTAATAGACAAGAAGATGTTTGTCACGATGGCAAACCATAAGTAATGTTCATACTTCATGGAAAGAAATATTTACCCAGTATAGAAAATGTACAAAGATTATTAGGTTACTAAAATTCCAATTCAGACTCATTCACAGAGTAATATTTACAAGGAAGGTTTTGTATATGATGAAAATGGTTGAAAGGAATACTTGTTCTCTCTTGTAATTCTGATCCTGAATGCATTATGCACGTGTTTCTTATTGTGTAATGTTGCCAGAAAATGGAATGAGCTCATCAACAAATTCTAATGTTTTATACAGTTTTAGTTACAGTAGAAATATATAAGATTAGCCTCGAAGCATAGAAATATGTAATAGATTCGACCTTGTGTACATTTGCAACCGACTTTGCTCATACTTGAGTTGGATGTACAAGGCTAAATATTGATACCGGGAGACATAATAGAATTGCGAAGTCTGAAAGGGTATGTACATATTGTAATTTAAACAACATCGAAGATCTGTACCATTTCACCCTCATATGTCCATCCTTAAAGAACATTCGAAGGAAATACATACCAAATAAATATTTAAATCGCCCTTTAGTACATCAATTTGCTCGCCTTATGGCAACCACAAACTATCAAGATTATTAATCTGTAATGTTATATTTCAAATATAGACATTGTTTTGGCAATTGATCCTATAATGTACCGTGTACACTTCATGTATGTAGGCCCATGGCCTTTCATACAATAAACATTTGAATTTGAATTTGAATTTGAATTGTATTTTCAATAACTTGTCATTGAACTGAACAAAATATAAAACAAAACAACTTCCACACTTTGTGCTTGTTAATCAGATGTGACGTCATTTTTGATGACTGTTTCTACAGCTATTACCGTTATATTCATAGTATACCCAGGGGCTGTGGGGTAGCCTAGTGGTTAAGCGTTTGCTCGTCACGCCGAGAACCCGGGTTCGATTCCCCATATGGATACAATGTGTGAAACCCATTTCTAGTGTCCCCGCCGTGATATTGCTGGAATATTGCTAAAAGCAGCGTAAAACTAAAACTCACTCACTCACTCGTAGTACACCCATGAAAATCCAAGGACTAATGTGAACGTGACTGTAATATAACAGTTTTGGATGAGGAAGCCGTTCACAGTTTTTAATACTGTACCAGGAACTTTATACATACACACAGATACCTACTTTCAGGATCTTTGAAGAAGACCAGAGCTTTGTTCTTCCTCTTCTTCATATCCACCTTTACCACCTCTCCCTCTCCCCGCCGCTTTTTCGTCTATTTTCAAAATACAGCTTCACGCTATCCTCAGTCATGTTGGGCTGTATACCCCTCACTTCCAGGGTGGTGGGACCGGCATTTGGTGTGGCTGTGAAGGAAAGATTATCATATGTTTGAACAAAATGTTTAAGAACATATTTCGAATTCCAATATTTTAGGTTGATTGCAGAAACAAATGAATATAATGGTGACTTATGGACAATCAATGCAAAGTAGATTTTATAAGATGGAATTTTTCCAACCAATTTCCGGGCAGGGAAATCAATTCTAGATCTAGATAATGTAATAACAATTGTGAATACACGATGCCAGTTAGAAAGTGTTCAAATGTACTGGCAAACAAGGATAAGTTGAGCACCGACCTGATAATTGACTAGGGGTGTCACGATTCGGTTCGGTTTATCGAAAATCGAATCGATAGATGTACGATTCGATCTCGATTTCAAATGCATCCGTTTCGATTCGATTCATAAAGTACTTACATTCTAATACTGAGAGTTTATTTCACCTGAAAATCGTAAGAAATTATGTTGAAAATTCGCTGCTACAAGTGTGGCCAGTGAGAGGGTATTCTCCACTGCCGGAGACATTGTAAGTGCCCAGAGTTCGTGACCAAAGTTCGTGACTGAAACTTAATTTCATGATCACTTGTTTAGTGAGTATTTGTTGACAACTTGTCTTGACAGTGTTCTAACTGTGCATTGTGCCAATTTTTCAAAGTTTGCCAAATTAAACTGATATTACAACAAATTTGACTTTGTCCTCAGCTTTGGTGAATCGAATCGAACAAATTGAATCGATAATCGTATCGAATCGAAGTGAGAGTGAATCATGACACCCCTACAATTGACCCGTATTAGCATGTATGAGTGCCGCCCACTGGCGTTTGCCATTGCTAGCGAAGGGGTCCCAGGTTGTCCGCGATCAATTGTAGTGCGATGGGTGATGCAAGGCGCAAGGCGCGTGCAGCTACTCGCGGAATCAATTTCATCCTCATGTACTGCACGTGCACTAGCCTACATCTGCTTTACCTTACACAAACCAAATGGGTTTGCTCATTGCCGTGCACCGCCTACTTCTCCTAAACGCGTTCTCTGCGCCGGTCCGACTTATCCTTGTTTGCCAGTAACATATATGCTGTATTTGGGATTACTGTTCCTCCGTAAAGAACAGACAGAAGCACTTTTGTTCCGCGATTTGAATCCACACTCTTAGAGTCTGGCACCTAATCACCATCAAACAAAGTCAACCATCTAACCCACTCAGCCACCAAAGCTTCCACAAATATGAAAGTCGGATGACTGGTAGTCTAGACAACGACCTTGTGTACGCCTCTGACAAGTGTAACTTGAGGAAGTATAGTACCAATTATAACATGTGTTACATTTGACCATTTCCTAAATGACATTCTGTATTCATAGCTTTCGGCAATGAGAGCCGTGTTCATTTACATATGTTAAGATAACAATTGTCGAAAATACTGTTCATTTAATTCTGTGACATCAGCATCCTTAACTTCAGTATCTGGTACAGCACAGTCACATCGGTTTGAATTCTCGAAACAACTGAACAAGATATACCGTACCTTTAGGTTTCTGTTCTTGGTCCCCGATTGTTTTAGGAACTGGATGTTCTTTGGGTTTGGGTGAAGGACATCTTTGCTCTTGGTGATATCCACCGAATTGTGTGGCAGAGGGTGCACCCTGTGGATGCACTGGGGGTCCTTCTGGATAGTTTGGAGCTGGATAGTTGGCTTGTGGATAGTGTTCAGCTGGTAGATAAGGCCTTTGTTGATATTGTTGGAATGGGGGTGGTTGAAATGGATGACCTTGTATTTGATTTTGGTATGGTTGACCTTGCATTTGAAATTGGTATTGCTGACCTTGCATTGGGTTTTCGTATGGTTGCTGTTGTTGTGGTGGGATTTGATATGGCGGGCCTTGTGTTGGATGTTGTGGGGGCGGTGGATATGGTCCATGTGAATGTGATGAATAGTTAGGGTTTGGATGTGGATATCTCACAGGATCTGGTTGTGGATATCTCCCAGGATCTGGTTGTGGATATCTCCCAGGATTCGGTTGTGGATATCTCCCAGAATATTGTGGGTGTCCAGGTGGTTGCATGTGGTGTGGGTGTGGCTGGAGATTCGCAGGGGCATGGTAGTAAGGAGGCACAGTACCGGGGTAGGGATGAGCCCAAGGCGAACCTGGCAGGATGTTCTGTGGCTGAACTACACTTGGCATTCCTGGAGCAGGTCCTGAAGGAATGTTCTGCGTGAGTTGTGTACGTTGCGGTCTTGGTGAACCGTCAGGACTTCCTCCAGGGACCATATTCTGATGATCATTTAAGTTTCCTTGAGGAGCCTGATATCTGGGTTCCTGGATATTCGGTTGTGAGGATTGCATCACTGACGGCTCAGTGACACTCAAGGTCTGTTGGGGCTTTTCATGGATAACAGGGTCGCACTCAGTGTCGTGTTTTGGTAGGGGCATCTGTTCTTCAGTTTGTTTGTCTTTCGGAGGTGGGTGTCTATCTGGGTCACTTGGTGGACGTTCCACATTGACACCAGGTGTCTGGTGCAGCTTGACATAAAAAGAAAGGTTATTATGATACCAATCCAATGACTTCACTTAAAGGTCACATTAGTTATTACACTTTCATGTTCCATCAAACAAAGCATCATAACCCCCATAAAATGATGATGTTGTCATGGCAATCATATATCAGGCATAATATAAAGCATTACAACTAAAACTGCCTCTTTGCATGAATAACATAAGTTGAAATTTACAAATAAATATGTCATACGTTTAAACAACGTCAGGAACGGGTGGTTTGGAAAATAGGAAATGTAAACTAGTGCTCAAAAGAAACTATACACCGCAAAATATTACATAACGATTCACAAAAATAAAAATGATGTGATCAAACCATACTGAGACCATGTCACACACGCGCAGAACCATTCTTTCCGGGAACAAACGGCGAAACAACTTAACGAATCGTGTAATCGTTGCTACAAAATCCAAAACGACTTTTTCTTATGTAACACGAAATGCACGTGCAAACTGACGGCATGAAACAACCTACGCGACACGTGAGCAATACAGTAGTAAAACAACACACAAAATATGCCACGTTTGAGGCAAATCGAAAGAGAGAGAGAGCTGTCAGAATGATCCAACAAGGAGCTAACCACACCGTCATTGCCAGAACCTTCGGCTGCACCCGAGCAACTGTCATCAGACTGATGCAACGACTAAGACAAACAGGCAATACGTCAAACAGACCTAGGAGTGGTCGACCATGTGTGACAACGCCCGATGATGATCGCCACATCCGGACAATTCATGGGAGAAATAATCTTGTATCGACAACGTCAACGGCAGTGACGACGACACTAGGACGCCGTATCCGTCGACCTACTGGCGACTAAGAGAACATGGTTTTCGAGCACGTCGACCCTACCGCAATGTGCATCTGACTCTTCAAAACTGACGTGGTCGATTGACATGGGCCAGGCAACGTTGGCAGATGCGTGATTGACGACGTGTAATGTTCACCGACACGGTAGGTTTCGGCTGTACAGTATTGACAGCCGGGCACGTGTACGTGTGAACGTTTAGCGCCGAATTGCATTCAGTAAATCCGACCGCTTGGATCTGCATTCATGAGAACCTGAATGCTCAAAGATACAGGTGTTTTGCCATTTATATCCAGCAACAACCAGATGGCATTGTCTACCAACACGATAACGCAAGACTCACAAACGACAAACTGATTCAACCTTTGATTACATTTTGCAGAATAACCGCCTTGTTGATTTGTGTAAAAGTTCAGACTATTATACCACGTGTCTTTCAGTGTCAGTCAAACGGTATTTCCGACTTTGTATGAAATGATATTTGTGTTCATTTGCTGTAGAATTGAATAGTTACTCTATTGAAATTGAACAGATATTCATTTATGTATGCTTTTATTTCTTTTCCACGTTGGTCAAACACGTATACTTTAATTTGAGCATTAGTTAATTTCGGGTTTGAAATGAAAAAAATCTTACATATAATGGGGATGTGGAGGGTAGGGGTTGGAGCGGGGTGATTCCTAAGACCAATCCCATTTACTATTATCGTTATTATTACCGTGTTGTAACGTGGAGGATCTTCCAGCCAGGGGGCGGGTATGAGTTCCTCGGGACACCTCATGGCCGATATTGTCGACACGCCTCTCTCATACCTGCATTCTGACACCTGGTGTTCAACCAGTATCCTCCGTGCATCTGTCAGATGGAACAAAATGAACACGTTGGTTCCCGTCAGTTATTCAATGTTGATCAAGATACACATTTATCGAGCTATCACTGATACACTTTGTACTTTGTCCAGCATAATGTGAAACAAGGACGATTTGATTCTGGATTCTCATATTCCGATGAGGCCAGACTTCTATCGATTCTGAGTAGAGCTGGAGTAGAAAAATGTGTCATGCTGATCGTGTGGGCATTTTGAGATTCACGTATCTAATGTGAACCCAACATGTCATGTGGGATTATTTTTGACACAGGTATATGACATGCCCAAGAGACGTAACTCCGCTCAGCTCTCTTTCACACATGGGCTCATTCACAAATAGGTCCAATTTGATTCTATTTGTGTTTTATTACCTCGATAATTAATCATGTCATGTAACAATGTGATGTCTATTGACCAATGATATTTAAAACACACTGTTGAATGACTTGAATCTGTAACTAAATCAACCCCCATTGCCATGACTAGAAAAATCTGAAAATGTACTAAGGTAAATATTTATATACAGTTTATAACTTTAGTACACGGCAAATGCTTATATATGTACATCTTATGCAGCAATGACGTTCCGTTCGTATCCTCAAAACAGCGTCGACTCCTAAGTTTTTAGGCAATTAAAATTGCATGCAATACAGCGATTACTACTCCCTTGCCGTAGCCCGTGTTTTGTGATAAAAACCTACACCTGTTTATTTGTCATCATTCATTTGATGGGCAGTTAATGTATTAATAACAGGTATGATTAATAGTAACACCACTCAGATTACCCGACAAGGGTTTCCATTTGGCATTTCTCATGTCTGGAGTAAATACTCACTATGTGGCAAATGTAATACATGTTATGTAATATACGCATGGAAGTGCAGAAAGAGGAATTATCAACTGAGTTAAAAACAAAAATCGATCAAAAGATAAACCGATAACAAGCTGATTGATCCATTACTTTTATCTTGTCAAACATTTTGTATGTAGGTGTACTAACCTACACTGAACACACCCACATTCTGTCGTAAAGTGTATGTGTAAAAACAACGTCCTAAACTACTTTTTTAACGAATGGTGGACATTATGCAAAGAGTTGTCATGTGTGCTGTCTTGGGTGACCAATGAAGAAAAACCCGAAACAGTCACGTGACCAGTTGAAAAAATATATCACTCGTTATAACGCTATATACATCTTTTCCACATCTTTTTCGACTGTCAAATGACACATAAAATGGAACAGCTTTCTTTGTGAGCTACGGATGAATGGCATCTCGTCCCTTTATGTGGATATTGATGGATACATTCCTCGAACATGGTAATGGCCTGTATTATTGCTATAACTTTAGTCGGTTTTAATTTTAATAATTGTATTTTGCTTTTATTCATTTGTTGTATCATTCAGCAGAATCATTCCACTTCATTTTTAAGCCGGGAAGTTCAGTGCGTGTGCGTGTGTGTGTGTGTGTGTGTGTGACACATAATTCACCTTAGCAATCTACAAAATGTCTAGATACTACAGCCACGTTTTAAATTCACTTGAACAGATCGTGTACTTTTTATGAAGTATTGCATAACAATATAATAATATATTCATTAGGTTTATATGCAAAAATATAAAGACGTATATTGACGTTAGTTTTTTTCATTTTAACGTTTTGTATGACTGGCAGATGAAATTAAATTTCAAATTGTGTCCTTTTGCTATAATAACAAAAGAATAATGATTATCATACGATGGAGGGTGTTATCGATGCAATTTAGCAATCTGATAAAGATTTTGTATCCAAATCTGATAAACATTGCAAAATAGGTCAATACACGAACTACTTTCACAAACTCCATACACACCATGAGAATCCTAAAACGTTTTAACATTTGATTGATGACGCCGCGTAGCGAGTTTACGAGGGTGTTTTCCATTGCGTCTCTTCATATAAATTCATGTCCGATTTGCTTCAATTTATAGATATCAATGGTACGGAAACACACTCGGTTAATAATCTCTAGGTAAAACAGATTTCATCTTTGTTGATCAATGTAAGGATATACATATTATGCTTATACTACCAATTTACCAAAAGTAGCCTGTCCGGTGGTCTGATAGATGTTTTTACTCCAAACAGTAAATATTTCATAACATCAGACAGGTTCTCTTGTCGTCAGTTTGAGGTGTTTAAGGTCTTATGATAATTATGTTAAACTATTTACGATAGGACAGTTCATTTTACAATAACTAATCACAACACACGTTCTTTCAGTTTGCAAGGCAAGTTTGTATCCGGACTGGTAAATTTCAAAAGTTACCAGTCCGGCTGTCTGGCTTGCCATTTTGGGAGTTTTAAACACTGATATAAGTCGGCCTTTTCACTGTCGCCGCGTCGCTGAGTCACTGTGTCTATCAATGGCTATTGTAAATATAGCGACCCAGTAACGCACCTACAGATCAGCTACCAGGACGCTCAGATATATATATAGGAGCTTTCTTTTCCTGGAAAGGAAGAGCTAGTTGTTGACTGGGTCTCTAACAAAAGGTCTCTCAGTCTAGTGGACAAACTGGTTTTTGATTTCTGCATCTGTATTCTTGGAAGTGAGAACAATTGAACAACTACTGAGCAATACATTTTTATATTACATACATTTAAGGGAAAGAAATAGAATCATGACAAGATAACTATACCAATGAACTACTGAATGTACCAGGGCGGATAACGAGAGAGAGAGAGAGAGAGAGAGAGAGAGAGAGAGAGAGAGAGAGAGAGAGAGAGAGAGAGAGAGAGAGAGAGAGAGAGAGAGAGAGAGAGAGAGAGAGAGAGAGAGAGAGAGAGAGAGAGAGAGAGAGAGAGAGAGAGAGAGAGAGTCCAAAGGTTAGGGGAAATGCTCAAGGATATTTTTTCGGGGGGAGGACGCACCCCCGCATGTTCCCTCTGGATCCGCCCTTGTGTGCGTGGTTCGTTCATTGAATAACAGTAATGAGTGAGTGAGTGAATTTAGTTTTATGCCGCTTTTAGCATTATTCCAGCAATATCGTGGCGGGGGACACCAGAAATGGGCTGGTACCCATGTGGGAAAAACAGTAATGAGTGAGTGAGTGAATTTAGTTTTACGCCGCTTTTAGCATTATTCCAGCAATGTCGTGGCGGGGACACCAGACACCAGGGAAAAACTGAGTACAATTTAGTTTTACGCCTCTTTTAGCATTATTCCAGCAATGTCGTTGTGGGAAAAAATGGGAAAAACAGTAATGAAGTCACCAGGGGCGTCCCGGATGGCGGGTCACTAGGGGCGTGTTAAATCACACCTGTTATCGGTACTTGAGTTTGTCATACACAATATAAGCACAGCGACACAATAACCCCAGCAGTAGAGTACAACCCTGTCTCAGTCTACTCACCGATCTTCGATGTAAGCAACACCACATATCCAGGTTTGCGCTTGGTCGCGTCAGATTCACCGACATAGTCAACAGCTTGCGCCAACTTCGTAATACCGTTCTGAGATAAGTAGCCATTCACAAAGTCCGACACAATAACATTATCTGGGAGGCCTGTGATTAACACAGATCGGGATGTGAGCTCCTCTCGACAAGACATGTTCACCAGACGAGCGCCATTTTGAAATTATGGACGTAGAATATCAAAACGAAAGAAGGTTTTCCAAGGTACTTTCTCTTTCGTTTTGTAGCATTAATCCGGTTTTGTATTTGGATACCTACATCAACCAGGTGGAGGTGACTATCACCATAACGAAAGTCGTTTTGTGATACTGTTTATCGTATCATTTTGTAAGTAGCTAAAGTGTAGAAGTAAATATCTAAAACCAGTTTACTCATCAACCAACAGGACAGACTAATTCATTTCGTTATCAATAGTTTACATTGATGAATGATATATGCTTCTTTAGTGAGTGAGTGAGTGAGTATGGTTTTACGCCGCTTTTAGCTATACTGCTTTACGTATGCAGACTTTTGAATGGATATATTATATACAAATCTCAATTTATTTAATGTGCTCCAATTCTCAAAATAACATTCGCCACTTTACTATATACTGACCGTCGTATATGTATATAACATCAACGCAAGAGCATCGATTATCCACCGAATCAGTATTTATTCGGCGTAATTTGTTTTATATGTAATGATATTTACTAGCATGTATGTATTCTTTATTCAAACACCAGTGAAAGATGTTTACGCAACAGAAATTTTTTTTATTTGTTTTGGTCGAAATCCAAAGCACATCATTGTGTTTAGGTATTGCTGTTAACTACATTGCTATAATCTTGCCTGCTATAAATCACTACCATGGTCTGTATATCACCAAAATCACCACTGTCGTCCACCCCCTAGTATCATAATGTATCAATTATGTGTGCCACATGGTATCGTCACTGATCGGTAACATGCATCTGATGATATCATCAGTGATCGTATGTTCCATGTGTCGCGTGTTCCCTGGTATGATTCGTGGTACAATTCCGTCCTCATCCCCCCTACAGAGGCCCCTCGACCCGATATTCACTATTGATAACTTGCACGTATTCAACAATATTACCACTGATAGGTTGTATGCTTCTCCTACAATCACCACTGATTTGTGACAAAAATATTTACCGTAAACTGCATTACGTTATACTTTATATACTTATAAGCATGTAACGATTGATCGAAACATCGATCATTGCATGTCTAAAATAAAATATGAACATTGCGAATGTATAATTATGAACGTATATATAAAGCCACACAATCAGCAGTATTGACAGAAATAGATAGGCATAGCTAGCCATACAATATAGTTACCCATTCAGAAAGCGAGCCCCCATGTATATCACCCAATAAAGAGGGTTCTCCTCTTTTATTAAAACGAACGACCCATAAAGTTGAATCTTGGACTTTGCGGACGTATAGGGCTTTGATAATATACTCATGCCAATAATGGTTGTCAACCCCACACACACACACACACCCACCCCACACCCCCTCTCCAATTAAAAAAATTGAAGGGGGTGACAACCATTATTGGCATGAGTATATGTCGATTACTGCATTAAAGGCGGTTCAGTGCAGGAATTGCAACTTATGACTTGTGCCCGATATCATTATAAATGTGTTTGTTGTTTAACACCATATACAGCAATAGTCCGGCTATATGGCGACTTCCTGGGAATAATGGAGTCGAAACCAGACAGTCCGTTGAACGATATTGTCAGCGAGTGTCGACAACACGATCAATGTGGTCGCCTCTTTAAGACTCTCAGATTCCCCGATTATTTATTTCTTTTTTCAAACAACATCGTTGTACATGTGTATCAATACGATACATAAGTAGAGATAAAGACCATAGGGAATAAATACATCAATACATTTATATGTAAATATACGTACACATAAATAGGCACGTGCAATCGATCACGTGATCTTCGCATCGAAGTTTTCTTCATATGCACGTGTTTGCATTGGCCTCAAGAATTGAAAAAAACACTTTTAAACCACAGTTCTAACGGTACTTGAAATGCCACGATTGTCAAATGTGCAACGTGGACGTGCCGTTGGCATGTTGCAAGAGAGAAGATCAGTTATTGACGTCGCAAGAGCAATGGGATGCAGCTGTCGTACTGTGTATGACTTGCGAGGTCGTCTACAACAAACTGGCACCACTTCTGATCGCCCAAGGTCGGGTCGTCCACGTGTGACGTCACGAGCAGAAGACCGTCAAATCGTTCTACGTCACCTACGTGACAGATTTCTGCCGGCTACACGATCCAGGGCTGAGATGTTTAGAGGTCCACTGTCCTCATAGACCATTCGAAATCGGTCGCGGGCTGCCAATCTCCATTCTCGACGTCCATATCGTGGGCCAATATTGACGCCGTTTCATCAACGTCAACGTCTGCTGTGGGCCCAGCGTCACCTCCGATGGACCCAGAGAGACTGGAATCGAGTCGTCTTTAGCAATGACTCCAGGTTTACCCTCAGATTCGCGGACGGCAGGCATAGAGTCTGGAGACGACGTCGTGAACGGTATGCCCAATGTTGTGTACAGGAAGTCGACAGATTCGGGGGCGGAAGTTGCATGGTGTAGGTGCTTTCTGTGGGAACAACCGTTCCCGACTTCTGGTCATCCGTGGAAACCTCACAGCTGCTGCTTACCGCGACTAGGTGCTCACCCCTGAACTCGTTCCTTTCATGGCGGCTCATGGCCCAGGTCTACAGTTCCAGCATGATAATGCTCGGCCGCATACCGCGATGTTGACACGAAATTTCCTTCAAAACGTTCGAATCAACGTCATGGACTGGCCATCGAGGTCCCCTGACCTTAATCCAATAGAGCACGTTTGGGATGCACTTGGGAGAAGGCTTCGTGGTCTTAGGAACCAACCTCAGAATTTGCAGGAAATAGTTCCTGATTGTATCTGTATATATGACTACATTCCAGCATTCACCAGTATTCCAGCTATATGGCGCCGGTCTGTTAATAATCGAGTCTGGACCTGACAATCTAGTGATCAACAGCATGACGATCGATCTAAGCAATTGGGATACGATGACATGTAGTCATCGAGCCTCACTACCCGATAAGTCTCTACCCTACGATAATCTCTTTGAAAATACATTATTACTAGGGTGGGTGTTGCACGTTAGGATGCGGAGCCTACCGTGCATTAAGCCACAACAAAATCTGATTGATTAACATTTTTAATCATGAAAATGTACATTCACTCATGAAACAGGGATAGAACAATATATCCGAAGATTTCCGAGTGTTACGAAGTTTTCCGAATGCATGTCAAAATACCGGTTTTCGATCAGCGTATCGCAATACGTATCGTTTTCATGTCTGAACCGATAAATACCGGTAAACCGGTTATATTGCGCAGCCCTAGTATCTACGACAGTAGATTCGACAGTATATACTATCAATGTAGGTTATTATTTATTTATTAAAGCCTCATTAAATAGAATAAATGAAATAAATAGTAGAATTCGTCTGTATTACCTGCGTATTACCTGAGTTAGATATTTTACATAGACTAGGGTCATCTCTTCATCGTCCAGCCTCAACGGGAAGGTTGTAGTTTTACCTTCTAAATTTTAGTGCTAGTTATAATACTGATTCTGTAACGAACTTGTTACAACTGTAATATTCTACGTTTTACAAAAGATTATACTAATTCAGGTGGAAAGAGGTACTTTACCAAACTGGGTATATGCTGAAAACAGTTTTTATGAAATCATTTCGAACTTGTTGCAACTGTACTACGCCAAGTTTTATAAAACTGATCTTTCATTGTTTTCTCGATAGCATCCAGGAACAAAGCTCTCTTAACATGTTGGGGCGAATGGACACTTAGATCACAAGAGTTCAGTTTCCAACGCAGCTTAACCATTTGCGTGGATGTATATAGCTATCAGATTTTACAAAACCTAATATAACTTAAGATAATTTAGGGGCTCATGTCGGGTATTGATTTACGACAAAGGCTGGTAGGTATCTGAGAAGATCTGTTTCCGTATAAATATGAATATGAATTTCTGCTCGGGTTGGCAAAATCAAGACAAGTTAATTTGGCTAAGACGTTCAACTTAGCTTCAGGTACATCGATGATCTAATATCGCTCGATAACCAACGAATATTCAGTTCCCTTGATTTACCCATCTCAGCTTGAAATAAAGATAACACGTGAGACTACCTCATGGGTTTCATATTTAGATATATGTATAATAGTCAAATTTCTCTTCATGTCGAGCAGTATTCCAAAGCTCTAGTATTTGGTGTTAACATTTCACGAGGTACAATCTAGCATGCTTTTGTTTCATGCTTTTCATGTTCACAAGTTGTTTGATGACGTTGATAACAATGAAGACCTCAATAACAGTTTGTAATGTTCGTCAACAATGCTTGTTTTTCAGAATGTTTTGCAAAGTATTTTCCAAGTGTCAGTAAAAAACTCATTTGAATCTGAAGTTTGTTTACTTTTGCAATCTTAACTGAGAACATTGTTCCAAATCTGTCCCCCTGTCGGACGCAGATGGGCGCAAAACGTTCATGACGTCTCCTATACACACGTTTCTTCCGTCGTGATGTTGCAAAAGAAAACGGGATTCATCAGAAAACCAGATGCGCCTCCAGTTTTGTAAAGTCCATATCCTTACGTTGTTGCACCACCTGAGTCGTCGGCGGAGATGTAGGGGCGTAGTACAGGTCCAACAACTGGTCTACAGGCACGTAAACCCGCTTCTTTCAGACGGTTCCTAATCGTTTGAGCTGACACTCTCCTCAAACCTGGTATTTGTGTGGCAGTCACGGTTGGTAGGGCATGCCGATTACGCAGGTGATGGACCCGGATGTACCGATCTTGAAGGGGGTCGTGATTCTTGGCCTTCCACTTCTCGGGCGATCGTTGGTCAAATTGAAGTTGTTGTAGCGGCTCCAAAGTCGGGATATCGTTGTTTTGTGAACATTTAGGTGCCGTGCAACAGTTCCAAAACTTTCTCCGGCTTGAACACGACCAATGGCGATATTTCGGTCGGCAGCACTCAATCGTGGCATTTTCACACAGCTTTTCATGCGACAAATGAATGAATATAATACGAAAGC